CCACTTCAAATTACGTAGACCAAAAGGCTTGCAATTGACCTGGACTAATGTACGTAAAACGACAACTGGGTTTAGCAATTACTAAATTAATAAATTTGCTAATATTTATTATTGGTATTTTCAGATAATGTTAATGCATTCAGTATTATTCGAACTAGAATTACTGAAAACGGCCACTGAACACATAAAAGTAGAAGAAGCCACATCAGAAGTAATACGAGTCATGAATAGAAGAGGCAGTCAAGGATATAGAAGTCTGTTGCTCAAAGGACAAATGAGATATATTAAAGATATAGATTCTATAATATTTCTATGCAGCCCCTTGTAAGTATACATGATAGAAAATACGAACCAATAAATACTTGTGCAATACAATAAAAAACACTTTAAAACAAATTTTTCTAAACATGATCAGGAATAGTATCATTAGTTTTCTAACCGTTTTCCTGTGAAACAATTAAAGACTTTAGTCATTTCCAATTAAATAGATCATAATTGTTTCTATTTTATTTTAGAATAAATAATCTTGATGAGCTGTGCGGAATGGGTTTATATCTAAACGACCTGAACTTTCACGGTTTGAGTAGAGAGATGGTACTGGCAGGATGGCAACATTGTTCCAAGTAAAAAAAATGGAATAACTAAAGTATAAAAAGTAACAAAAATCATATACCTAAATAGTTTACCCCTTGTTTAACTACATTTATAATTAATTTTTCTGAAGAAAATAATATTGAAGTATTTTCTTCTAATCAGATTAGAGCTCATGTGTGAAAGAGCCGAACAACGCTCCTTAGAACTGGAAGAAACTTATGAGCTTGCTGAAAAATGGAAGAGAAAAGGTGATGAATTAGTCTATTCTATGATACCGAGATCAGTTGCTGACGGATTAAGAGCTGGACAAAATCCATTAAATACATGCAAGGTATTTAAAATAAATTTGCAGATTTTAGTACGAACATAGACAACTATGGCATCATGGTAAGAACATGAATTGGCAATCACCAGTTTCTGGTTTGATTACAACTAGGAAAGAGCAACTAGTGGGTTGCCTTCTCAAACCACTAAAGATTTGAAAATAATAATTACTATAAATCACAGATAAATGGTAAATAAAGAAGTAGTAGAAACATGATATATATATATATATATATATATATATATATATATATATATAAATGGCAAAACTATGTAATTACCTCGGATTCCTCTATATTGAAAATTAGGCGATAAAAACTAAAAGATACAAACTTTTATCTTGTACTATTTTTTTGTTACAGCTTCATAATAATAATATATAGTTCATTGACCTCATCCCCAGAGTCTCGTAATTCATTGATACTAGATTTCATACTATCTTCATTAACCAATTAGCTGTGATTAGTTAAGAAGTGGCAAAATTTGGCCTATTGACAAAAACTAATAATCGTCATGGATATAAATCAGTGACCTATATTAGCTGTTTAAATTCCATTTTTTTTGAAAAAATGCATATTTCAAGTTTCAAGATATTTTGGAATATTTTGAGGCTATACCCTGGTAATGCAAACAAATAATGTCAACAGTTTGGGATAAGTTCTTATGTCCCCAGTATGCAGTGGTTAAAAACCTTTCCAGTTCGCATTAGAATTTACTTATGTTCGATGATAACGTTTTTTGGATATTTACCAAAAATATGAAACTAGAAGAAGTAGATGTGCAAAGTCACATTATGTACGAATGCTATTTTTTGCTAAGAGGGCGTCCATAAATTATGTAAGGTTTTTAGGGGCAGAGGTGATCTGACAAAAAATTACGATATATCACGTGGGGGAGGAAGGCGTATAGTAAAATAGCACATGTATTTATTTTTTACCTGACTTTTATTTAAATCTGGAGAAGGGTAATTTTGAATATCACCACAAATCACCAAGCGGGGGTTGTCCAAAAATCTTTAAAAAGTCGATCACGTGATTAATGGATGTCCCCTAAAAAGGCACTCCAGAGCAAGAATTTGAATTGTCACTTTTTTATGTATAATATTTATTAATTGTTGCGTTTTTTAATTAATTTATTTTGTTTTTAGTTTAATATGTGTGTGATATACGTTTTTATGTTAACCAAAGAAGCAAGATTCGGAAAAACATCAATTTTATAATATAAACCCATCTTTCACATCCAATACCTTACCAAAGCAAATTAATTTGTGATTGACGAATATAATCGTCATGACCTGATTCTGAAGATATTAGAATTAATATGGCAATTATCAATATTTCAATGTTTGTTAATAAGTATAATTTTTTTCTCAGAGTTTCGGAGCAGTAACTATACTATTTTGCTCCTTGGAGGAACTAAATTCTCACACTGTGCTGGATGCAATGAGTTTAGTGGCAACTATGAACACAGTATTTTCAGTATTTGACAAAATGCTTGATTTGCATCACGTTTATAAAGTTGAAACAATTGGACAGGTAATGGAATATATATTGAAATTATATTAATTGGCTCTTGACCTATAAATAAATAGTTTGCCTAAAACAGTTACTCTAAAATTTACAAGTTACAATTCTTTTTTTTTGCAAAATCTGTTTCTGATCTTGATAAATTGATATTTCATATAAACAGTCTTTGTGTAAATAAGAAAAGGTTCTATTGTAAATAGCAAAGAAAAATATTATATTTTAGTTACCTGTAATTAATCCTCTGTTTTGAAAAAAAAAATATTAAAAAAACTAGTTTTTGACAATACTACACAAAAACTCACAATAAACAAATTTATAACTGATTGCGTGAAACAAAATCGTGAAACAAAAGACGATTTCTGAAAAATTTCCATAAAATAAACAAAAATCGTAGGAATCAGTGGTACGAAAACAGTATTTACATAGATCGTTTTTGATAATTATACATTAATAATTGCACATAATCCTTGTCATAAACATCTCGAAATGTCATATTTTTTCGGTTACGTAATGATTCTTACTATAATAGAAACATAGTGTTCTAATAATTTTTCTATTTTGTTTCTTTTGTTACCTTTAAATTATAAATTGCTCTAAATTAGGTCCAAAAATAAATGGTAAATTCCGATATTGTATGTGTGTCATTATTGAGAAAGTTCTAAAAAAATGTATAATTTAAACAGTTTACAAGTAAAATTACTAGTAATAACATATACAGTAGAACATTGATTATCCGGACTTCAGTTATACAGATTCACGATTATCCGTACCAGGAATAAAACAACAAACTGAAAACATTGTTTCGTAATAAAACCAGGCATGGTATTTTTTTATAAAATTATTTTTTACAATTATTTAGTTTTTTTTCGTGAGTTGTACAAATTTTTAGAACTTGCTGAATGATAACACAGTTACAGTGTTCAAACGTACATGGCTTTTTTGACGTTGAAATATTTGAAATTATTAGTATCCCCTTGGTCAAATTAAAAAAAAGGTTAAGAAAAAACATTATTTATTATACGTTTCGCCAATCGATGTGTGTCATCATGCATCAAATCAAACCGGAACAAAAAATATTTTAAAAAATGTTTAAACTTTAATAATAAAAAAACAACGCATTACTAATAATTTAAATCGAAAACTAATAGAGGTACCAATGTCTTCTAGACAAAAAATGCCCTAGGGTCTGTTTGTAAACTATTACGCAACGTTATTTAATTTTTATAAATAAACCAATTCTCATAGCACTCTAATATTTTAACTCTTTGGGGACGGCTGTCCACCCGAGTGGACAAACATACTTTGTGAGGCACAGGCTATTTTGTAAACAATGACTCAGTTTGCATCGAAAAGTTGAATAAATCACATATAGCAGTGATAAACAGTGTTGTATTTTGAAAATAATTTTAAGTTATTTTAGTAGTATTATTAGCCTTTTTCTTTACTATATAGTTTTTTTTTAATATTCGCTTAAGCTTTAAGAGCGCTTTTAAATGTGGCGAAACGACTGGTAAATTTTGTGAATTAAGCAGTAGTGAAGATGAGTTTCAAATAGACATTCATACAGACAAATTTTAAAAGAAAATACTATTCGCACCAAAGATAGTGATGAATGTGATGATGATACTATCTAACCAACAAAAAGTAGAAGAAGTTCAACAAATTAAATGAAGAGCGGAAAGACATTAGCGAATGTGCCGATTCTCCTTCAACAAATACCAAGCAATATAAGACATCCAATAAATTATTTTAATTTATATTTTACAAATGATTTATCAGACAATATAATAGAAAAAACAAACCATTATGGCAACAAAAAAATGAACAAATATACTGACTAATCAGTGGCATATTCTAATTGCGAGAGAAAGAAAAGGGGATTGTATTATCTGTCTACCAGAAAAGCACCAGAAAAAAGGCGGCGAACAACATTTTATTGTAAAACATGTTAAAATCAACCAGTTATTCATTTTGGAAATTGTTTTGTACACATCACCATTCTTTATAAAATGATCAAAAATAAATTAATATTATAAATGTATGTCCTTCAATGACCACAAATTTTTATCAAACAAATTGCATAACATACACAATAAAATCAAGTTTATAGCCGGTACAGTAGATTGTTTTGAAATCGGTACTGCCCCGTAAGTGTTAAAGAGGCATTGTGTATAATATCGAAAAATACTCTCGGGACTTCCAAGTCGTTCGAGGCGTTTAAGAATATGAAAACGGCTCGCATCATTATTAATATCTTAATATAACTAAATATAGTTCAATAGTTAGCATCATGAGAAATTGCATGACAAGCAGCCATGCAATGGTCGCCAAAACAATGTAGATGATCATTAAAAGACTTACCGAGCACCGACCACCGACTGCCTCAGCGATGTCAACTCCTCCAAACGTTCTCAGCAACATTTCAGTTCAGATAGTCTTTGTAACTAATTGTTGCAACTGTATTCAAAAGTTCACTGAATTTAAAGCATTAACACAATTCACTATCACTACTAATAACTTTTTGTTCAAATTCACAGATATACATGGCCGTATCTGGCGCTCCCGAACTCACAAAAGACCACACGATGCACGCGGCGAATTTGGCACTGAACATGATACGGCAGGTGGACCATCTTGAACTACCATCAAAAGCAAAAATACAGATCAAAATCGGTAATACATAAATATTATTTATCTAATTCGATGTTTTTCGACACAAATCAACTTGCGTTATGAAAATATAACGAAAGATCACACCATGTACGCGACGAATTTAGCACTGGACACGATACGACAAGTCAGGTAGACCATCTTGAACTACCATCAAAAGCAACAATGCAGATCAAAATCGGTGATTCATAAAATATTTGTCAAATTCAATGTTTACTGACACAAATCAACTTGCGTTATGAAAATAAACAAAAATTGCTCCATGTACGCGACGAATTTAGCACTGGACACGATACGACTGGTCAGATAGACCATCTTGAACTACCATCAAAAGCAAAAATATAGATCAAAATAGGTGATAGATAGGATATTTTTTATAAATTGAATGTGTATCGATATAAACAATTGACAATGTATAATACAATGTACAATATACAATGCAAGCGGTAAATTTAGCATTGAACATGATACGTCTGGCCGACAATATTCAACTACCATCGAAAGCAAACATGCGTGGAAAATTTTGACAAAAACTAGCGGTTAAAGCATCGTGTCTTAAGGCAAATTCATCGAACTTCCCGCACCAAAAATTAAAAGTTTTAAAAAAGATTTTATTTTTTTTTTTTAACTTTGAAAATATTAGATTTTCTAGAATTTTGAAATTTTTGAAAAATTTGAAATTTTTCCATGCTTTGAAAATATTGCACATTTTTCAAAAAAAATCGATCTGCGTAGGTGTTTTAGAGATGACATATCGAAGCGCGTAAGCGCCGCGTTGCATTCGAACGGAACATTGGTACGGAACTTATAGAAATGTAAACAAAGTTTATATTATACTTATTATTAAAATCTTTATAAAATAACTGATAATTTGATGTGCATATATCTGGATCATTTTTGATCGCCAAATAACTTGTTTTTACTTTTTTTTATTGGTTCTTCAAAACCACTGGACCTGCCTTTACAAAATTTTAATCGGTTCTTTAATTAGAAAAAAAAACTCAAGTTTTCAAAAAAAAAAATCGAATTATAAAAAATTTCAAATATTTCAAAAAGTCAAATTTTTCCAAAAATTTCAAAATTTTCAAAAATCTACTTTTTTCAAAGTTTTCAAAAAAATTTGAAGCTTTTTTAAAAATTTTTATTTTCGGAATGGGAAGTTCGACCAATTTGTCTTCGCTATGCACCACTAGGTTTAGATTTTTTTTGCAATATAGTATAAAATATAGATTTTTTTACATCACCATAACTTTCTTCCATCAACAGATTAATTATAATGTAGTCTTTTCTTGTTGCATTAATTTATGAAGAATTTAAATTTTTTAAACCATCATTTTTATATTATGTACAATGTTTATTGGCATAAATCAAGTTTTGTAAATTATTAATAAGTACGGGCCCACCATAAATTTTTAAAAAAATTAAATACTGCCCGTGAATTAAAAATAAATAATTATTTATTTATATTAATTTATCACTAAATTAAAAATAAAAAAAAATCTTAGGATAAATCTATGCAGCGATAAAAACAGTATTATTATTTATAATTTCACTATTAACTATTTTGTAAGTATTTTTTACTCTTTGGCATTTTTTTTTATTTCAAATACGGCAAAACAACCGAGCAATTCGTAAATTCATCAAAAACAAAATATTATTCACAGAAAATGATATATTACATTTTACTGTGGATGATAAAAAAAATTGTCACGACAGTGGAATCAACTCCTGTGTCTTCTGTAATTGATTACACCTTTAACATGCAGAAAATAAATTTTGATATTATTGTAAATGTATGCTTTTCAATCCACAAATTCATATAAAACAAATTGCACAACTTACACAATAGTATCAAGTTTTAAGCAGGTATGTTTTCATCAGAATGCGGCGCCGAGTTGCTGGTAGATTATTTTTTGAATCGATTCAGGGCGCACTGTTATGCAAACCATTTTATATATCTGGTTCAAATTATCCGCTTTTTTATAATTCTGGTATTCTTTCTTATGACACTACATGTTTTCTGCAAATTCTAATTAGAATACCAAATGTTTCTTTCAAATTAGGATTACATACCGGACCCGTAGTTGGCGGTGTTGTAGGAATCAAAGTTCCGAGATACTGTTTTTTTGGAGATACTGTAAATACAGCCTCAAGAATGCAAAGTACAGGCACTTGTGGTAAAATACACATATCAAAGGCTGTCAATGATAATCTTAAAGGCTACTCGTTTAAACTATTACCGCGAGGAAAAGTCAATCTGAAGGTAAATGAAATGATTGATTATTATCATTGGCTATTAATTTACCTATTTTTAATTAACAGGGCAAAGGCGAAATGGAAACGTTTTGGTTAGAGGGCGAGCCAAAGCAGCAATTTAATTATTCACAAGAATCGTCTCTTAAATAGAATCTTACTTATGCATGATTTATATTTACAACAAAATTAACCTTTATATCTCAAATATACTATAAGAACTTAATGCCATTGTATATTGATTATAAAATATATCTTTCATATAAATAAAAGTGTGTAATTCATTCTTTAAATTATATCTGAACATAAAAAGTTTTCGTCATTATTTTAAATTCTTAAAATAAACATTTCCAGCTTCCGATTTTGAATCATCATCTTGCTCTAAAAAATTTTTCAACTTAGGCGTACTTTGGGATACTTTCTGCCAATCAGAAGAGTTTTGTTTATTTTCAGATGCATGCAACAAAAACTAAAAAGTAAAGTTAGTTATATAATTTTACAAATTGATTAATTGAATAATATAAAAAATAATTTGAAAAAAACTCACTTGTTTTAAATACGCCTCCAAATCATTTTCATTTGGAACATTGCGACTAGAAACAGGTGTTGAAATAACCATCAAAGAATTTTTCTTCAATATTGGTTTTATACTAATAACATAAAAATAGTACAGTTTAATATATAATTGAATTCTATATTAAGTATAAGATCATATTTATTTTTTATTTAATTTTTTTTTTTTCTTTGCTTTCAAATTGATGTGGTGCATATATGCATAATAAATTATATGGGTACAAATGGCTGAAATTTACCTGGAATCATTCTCCAACTTATCAATATCTTTTTCTGGATAATTTATAGTTTTCAGATCATCTGCATCAAAATTACTTCGTGCAGACATTATACCATTCAAATCATTATCTGAATTTTTATCTAAAACTGAAATTAAGGAAACAAATCATATATTAATATGAAACCATTTTTTGAAATATTTTATATACCTGTTGGACTGGAAATAATTTGTAAAGCAGCTTGCCATTGGTTTTCCATAACTTTATGTAATTGTTCTGCTATTTTACCTCGTTTGGCATAGTAATTTGATAGTTTTTCCTAAACATTTTTATAACAATTAAAGTTGTAAATAAAAAAACTGAAATAAAATATGTATTTTGCCCCAAAAAATGTATATATATATATATATATATATATATATACCTTTAAAATCGAATTGTGTTGACTAGTACTCTTCAACTGCAATTTGCACAGCCCCATTTCCTCTTTATGTTTTTCTTTAAGTAAATTAACTTCCAACTCACTTCTAGTAAAATATGAAAAAATATTATTTATTTTTATAAAACAAAGTAATATTAATCTAAAATCTGAAAAACAAACTGTTGTATGAGACTCTGTATCTGTTTCATTAATTTTTCCGTAAGTGTCTGCTCCCGTTTTTGAATCTCTGCTTCCATGCATTTTTCAGCAAATTCTAGTTGAGTCTACATTACGAGATAAGAATAAATTAATTTATATAAATATTTATATATATATATTTGTTAATACCTGAAATTCTTGCATTTTTTCTTTCACAACAGTTTCAACTTGATTTTGATAAAATTCCTTTAGTTCCTTTTTTTGAGTTTCTAATTGCTTCTTAATAATTTTTACTTCTGAAGACAATTTACCCTAAATTTGGGAGTATATCTTATATTAATTCAACAATAAAATAAGTGTCATCCAATAACCATTTAAATTTACCTCACGAAGTTTAGATTCATCGAGTGCAGAATTTAAATTTCTTTTCAATATTTCCAATCTATTATTTTTCTCTTGTTCTTGGGATAGTTTATTTTTAAGATTCTTTTTTTCTTCTATCAAAATATGATTTTCAGATTCCAAATTGGCACATTTAACCACAAGGGTTTTACATTTTGTTTCTTCAGATACAAAATTTTTATGTTCCTTTATAAAAAAAAAAAAACAAATCAAATTTCATGAACAAAAACATCAAACAATTAATTACAATTTGTGTAATTAATTGATATAAAAAATCACTTACATTTTCTATTTCGTTCCTTAATGTATCCACTGTTCGAGAGAGCTCTTCATTTTGTTGATTTAATTCATTTTTTTCCTTCAGCAATCCATTGTAAAGTAGTTCAGTATTCTGCAGTTGACATTGATATGTATCTTCTTGATGTTTCCATTTCCTAGTATTACAAAATTACAAGATTAATTAATTATAACACTATATAAAATATAATAAAATAATTTCTTTATATAACGCACATCTTCAAATCCTGTTCAGCTTTTTCAAATATTAATAATTTTTCTTTGAGAGATTTAACTAATTCATATGAACTTGTTATTTCTTCTTTGTGGGTTGCACAAGACTAAAAAAATAGTCCAATTATAAATTACAAAGATAAAGTAAGTGGTAATTTGTTTCATGAGCTATAACAAAATACCTTTACATAAATTTGCTTTTCATTTTCTAACAGCTGCCTTTCTTTCTGCATATTGTTCATTAGAGCATTCAACTGGATATCTCTGTTTTCATAATTATTTGCTAATCTGTAAAAAAATACTTTATCAACCAATCTTTTAAGAGAAATTTAATACTGGTTATGGTACTGATGAAGACAGTAATGATTACTGGTTGGTTAAGAACTGTTGGGGTGAGAGCTGGGGAGATAAGGAATACGGAGTTGCTATCCAGGCTAGCTATCCTCTCGTTTAAACATAAGTTTATTTTTCTCTAATAAATGAATTTTATATGAACTATTTGATGGTTGGAGGAATGATTGCTAGTGAACAAATGAGGTTCATATAACTTACAAGCCTTGCCAAGTTTGTAATAATCTAAATAACCTACCATGATATTATTTTTAATTTTAAGGACTTATAATTTAATCATTTATATGTTGTTTGTGACAGCTAAATATTTCATGCTTTGAATGTTTTTTTATTCATACAAGATGTTTGATAAATTATAGTATGTAGTGTATAGATTTTTCCTAATTCTTAAGTCTTGTGATTACTTAAAGTTTCATCTACTAAGATTTACCTTTGCCAAGCAAGTTTTAATTGATTTATAGCATTGTCTTTAGCTTTATCTACTTTTATTGCAACTGCTAATTTTTCTTGAGATTCCAATAACTTTGTTTGTAAAAGTTGGATTTCCTGTTCACAGTGCTGAAATAAATAAAATTTTCAATTCAAAAATAGTTGATAAAATAAATCATTTATTTACCTCTCGGCGTAGCTTTTCACTTTCTTGTTCCATGTTTGAATCTTTATATTCAAAATTCCATAATTTTTCTAAACTTAATTTGCTATAATTTGCTTTACTAGTATCATATTCTTTAGATCTTAAATTTTTACTTAACGTAATTTCACCATTATATAATTCTTGCACACTTTGTTTTTGATCAGTACATTCTGATGAATACGTGGCTCTGTTGGAATCAGGTAACTGAAGTTCAGGTACAAAACTAAAGCAGTATCCACTGTTTTTTGCACAATCGTCTGTAGAATGTATATCCTTATTTTCATTTTGAGTTTCACTGAATTTCATATCAATTATATTTGATTTTTGGTTTAAATACTCATTACTGTTTGTTTGTAATGGAATACAAGATTTTTCATTACTGGAGAAAAAAGGATTCACACCGCTAGAATTTTTACTTTCTTTTGAATCATGATTATCATTGCCTAAAGCCCTTGAATATGAAGAGGTAGTCTTAACAAACTTTTGCTTTTCAAACCCTGCTACAGTTTTTGTTAGAAAATTATCTATTTCAAGCAATAGACGATCATCTGCATAATTCGCATGGGGAAAATTTGAAATACTGCTTATATCAGAGAACATGCTGGGAATTTCAGAATATAAGCTCTGATTTGGCAGAGGCATTTTACTACCATCTTGACATCGAACATTTGTGTTTCTAACATCATTGCTTGCCATGTTAGGGCATGAAGTGTAATCAACTGCAGATCTAAATTTATGAGTATATTGTAGACTATAATTATTTTGCGATTCCCCACAAAGCTGAGCATTCAATTGCGATAATTTATGGCGCAAATCGTCAACATGATTGATCATAACATCAACAACACATGGTGGTTTCTCACAAAGTGTTATTCCAGAATCAGAATCAAAGTTAACTAAGAAGGTATCCGGAGATATTACTAAAAGGGCGTCTGTATCATCAGTATCACTCATTCCAGATGAATTGGGATAATCAATTCAGCATTAATTTGATGATTGTGGGTAATCGATTCATTAAAGTGCTACATTAGTTTGTATTAAACTATAACAAACATATGATAAATAATTATAACCTTAGACAATAAATAATATAATTTACTTATTTGTATCTAATCATCTATTATTCACATATTATAGCGTCACACTAATATTTTAACATAGATAATACTCATATTTAATACTGTTGTTTCTACAAAATTTGACGTAATATAAAAATATACTCTGCTAGCTTTTTTTTAGTGATTTTTTAGCTTTAACAGATTATAAATTAATGTAAGAACTAGTGGTGTATGGCATCGTGCCTTAAGGCAAATTGCTAGAACTACCCGTACCGTAACAAAATGTTCGAGAAATATTAAATGTTTTCAGATAAATTATTATAAATACTGTAATATTGTCTAATATTTATAAGAATTATTCATAAACTGAATTACAAAGTTGAAATTATTTGTTTAAAGTATATTAGACTTTAGTCAGAAACTATGAAATCACATATATCGCCCATTTAACATGGTAGTTACGTTCCAAAAAACTAGCATGTTATGCGAAACCTTGTTATACGAGACAAAAAGAGGGGTTACGTTCCAAGAATTCAAAAAAACATGCTACATATCATAAATCTATAATGAAAATTGTTATATTTATTAATTTTTTTAAGAAGTAATATACATTACATAAATTCTATGAATTTTTTGCCAACTAACAAGTAAGTGCTATCGAATGCGATCTTTTTTTGCAAGATATCCTCATCCTCTGAGGAGTTTTCTGTACTACCTGCAGATCCGTGTATTATTTTTTGAAAAAAATTATATTTGCGATTACTTGCTTTTAGCATAATGATAATTAAATATTTAACACCTGCAAAGTTATCTTTATTAATCCCTTATGTTCATCTTATTTAAAGAATCTTTGTTTTTCCGAACAATATTTACTAGAACAATGCCCATGCTTTGTGTAAAACTTTAATGATTAAAAAATCTTCAGTTACAGTAATACAAAAATTTTCAAAATATATCACTTTTCTTATCTTATTCTAATATCTTGTGTTTTTAATCTGGATGTGCAATTGAGCTACAGATTGAAAAATGCAATGCAGACTAATAATTTAACTTTACTAGACTAATCTTATAAATAATACATCTTATAATCACAAATCAAACAAAAGTTAATCTTTAGAGAATATCAGTTTATTTCTAAAATTGACAATGTCTGTTTTTAAAACAACTCAAATTTAAATGAATAATTTATTTAAAACAATTTTGATCAGGTCCATCTGTTTGAAACTACACAAATCTTAAAAAATATATTAAGTATTGGACAAATGAAACTTAAGAATTTTGGAAAACATTGAATTACATATAATCATTGGAATAACAATAGAAGACAACAGAATATTTACAATTTTGTTATATCATATTAATACTTTTTTATCAGTACAGGTATCAATGCACCTAAACAAATTTCAGTCTTTAAACAGTCATACAGTACCACTGCAATTAATAAAATAACTTTAAAATCAGGCAGGCATGTATAGGATCACGAGTATAATTCAAAATACTTTAGTTGTTAAAACTTTCATACTAAAAGTACTGTTCCCAGTTTCATTTCATAAGGATTTTGGAAGAACTTTGGAATGTATATGTGAAGAGTTACAATGCAAAGGAATCACAGAAATATATAAACACGACTAAGAACTACTAAAAATCCAGTTTCATATCAAAATATCTAGAAGCTCATACATATCAGTGTTTCATTGAAATTGGTGTAATTTTGCTATAAGCAAAAACTGGATGTCTTAAATAACACTTATCACTATATTGTCTATATGACTTATATAAAATATTGCTGATCTCAAATTTAAATTATAAATATTAAAATTTAAATTATATTAACAGTATTTTAAACAATAAATGTATCCACAACCATTTTCTAAAATTTAACAAAAATAATTTACATTATTAAGAATATATTAAATATACTATGCAATCTATTAATATACTTTTTTATTTTGTACAATAAGTTAGAAATAGTTATCTAAATTTGACAATGTCAAATAATTTAGGCACCATAGACATAAACATCGCTTTGTCAATTTTATTGCTAATTGATATTGCTCTTTGATTTCATCAACAAAACATTAGCATATATAACAAATTTCATAGCAATTAACTTTTTGATTCACTGAATACGATAGTAGATATAACGTTCGGACTCAACATTTAAAACAAAACAGAATTAAAACCTATTACTAATTTTATTACCTAATGATAAAAAAGTTTAAATTTAGGTATTAAAATAATTTTAGAGTCCTGTTTCAAAACTCACTAATTTCCAAAAATAAATTATCACAATTTATTGTGTCTTTGTGATGTCTTTAAAAGTTATAACTTTTAAATATTTCCATTGTGAAATGGTTTAATTTTAATTTTAAATATCTTATGTAATAATACCATATTTGATATGTAATATATGTTACGTACTGATTAAAGAATGATGCAGCAACTATGGGAAGAACTATCTCCAACAACTTCTCCTGTGTTCCCACTAAATTTAAGTACACCTGGACTAACATCACTGGTGTTTGTATTTGTACCAGTGATTGCATTAACTGGAACTAGATCAGTTACAAGACCTGGCTCTTGAGAATTTGTTGGTGATGCTGGTGATGAATGTTCTGATGATTGACGTGTTTGAGCTCTTTGCTTTTTTAATTCTGCCAGAGTTCCTAAATGATAACATTAAACATATAATAACTAACTTAATAAATGCACATGCAATGTTTGAAAAATAGATCAGTAATCATATAGAAAATTATAACTGAATATACATATTCAGAATACATTCTGAATATGTATGCTAATACAGCAATAATAGAAAATTGAATGTATGTTAGATAAAATAATTAAACTAAATTGAATATTAAAAGCATGCTCACCTGAATTAATCATAACTGTAACATGAACATTAATCTTTCCATTATTATCACTAGTAGAAAAGGTCTCAGTAGGTATCTCAACACATTCACTTGATATCATACTGCTTATATTTGAATTATCCATTATGAATGAATCATTGTCTTTTCCTTCGGGAGCACGTCTAGCACCAAAATCAGTGCTATCTACTATACTATTATTAATTGGTTCCACTACAACCCCATTGCTATTATTTGGCATGTTAACAGAATATGTATTTGCATACTGTGGTCCATTTTGAGCATATACATTATTGTTATTAATACTTCTGGAGATTGAATTTCCGAAACTTTGAGTATTGTGAGCTGTAGACCACTGAAACAAAGTAATATTTTGTCAAAACCAAATAATAATCACGTTTTACGTATATTTTGGATGTTTTCAAAGACTTCAATCACATTATAGCTTCCTTCTTATAACATTTTAACTATTAAACTTATACATTTTTGTGATTAAAATTTAACATGTTTGAGATGCATGTTAAATGAAGGCAATGTGTTTTCTATCGCAGCAAATGAATTTATTATAATAAGAGATCAGTAAATTGTGTGGATTATATAAAAAATAAAAATAAACAATAAAATTAAAAAGTATTATAAAGCTTTCAAAGGCAAAATAGAAGGGCTGGAAGGATTGGGAAGAAGAAGAATAGAAGCAAAAGAAAAATTTATAAAAACAAATATAAACTGAATAATGGTCATTAATAGTCATTAATTAATAGTAATAAAACAATAAAGGGAATAATAAACAAAGAAGGGAAAGAAAATCATTGATTTTGAGGAGTTCAAGCAAGCAGAAATAGAAATCATACTTATTTATGTATATTAAAAACATATTAGTCATTTATTATTGAATTTAATAGATTTACAATGATTTCTATTTGAAAGGTTGGTTTTAAAAATTATGGAATCATAGGAAATTGTGCTATGAATGTGGTATATCAATCGGCTCGTGTGAATCAATGTTTTATAATTAACTAGCACTGCTCAATAGCATTTCAATGATAACTGTGACGATTCTAATATGCATGAAAGGTACAAGAACTAACCATATAGGTACATAACATGACCTGAAAACAAAGAAGCCTCATAGCCAGTTCTTTGCTACATTTTTTATATTAAAAAATTAACAAGTGCAAATAAATGTACCATAATACAAGAAAACATATCCACATATATCTGTAGAACTTACTTAAATTTTTTTGGACAAGTTAGAAGTAATATGAAAGTCCTTAATAAATCAGACTTTAAAAAAATTTTCTTTAATATTCTTCAAAATCTCAAACAAATTAACCGTTCATTTGCAAATGTTAACAATCATGAATGTTAGCCAGCCTTCCAGACACAATCATATAGAAAGCTTTTGAGTAATGTCTGACCAAAATTTTAATATTTATGTAGCAGATAACTTACCTCTTGTGCCTGTAAACGTAATTTTGCTTCTTCAGCAGTGTCCTTCTTAGTGGTGAGCGTTTTGTCCCGAATAGATGTACGACGAACGGATTGAGTGCGCGTATTGTTGCTTTGTGATCGGCGCACACGTTTTCTTTGTTGCTCCTGCAATCTTTTGCTCTCTTGTTCAGTTCGAAGATGTTTTATCCGTTCACGTAATTCAGGATCTTCACAAATATCTTAAAATATTCGATCAAACATCAGTATTTGAATCAAACATTGAAAATGTATTGTATCTTGTAACCATATATAAATATAAATATATATATATATATATATATATATATATATAATTTGGAAACTAATGACTTTACTGTATGACTGAATGAACAAATGTCTAAGTTAACAAGTTTTCCAAATAATTATCTGGTCTAAAATGAGCTTCCATTACTACTAATTTTTTTTTTGCAATATTAATTTTAAATTAACTGAAAAAAAAACTCAAGAGCGTTACACAAAGCATATTACAAGAAAAATCCATTTACCTGCTGGAGTTTCTTCATGACGATTTTTAGCATTAAGATCGGCACCGTTGTGGACTAACATTTCCAAGACTTCGAGCTGTCAGCATGCATAAAACAACTTGCATAATAACACAGACAAACCAAAACACAATATAAAGTATAATTTATCATTGGGAAATTTAGTTAAATTTGCTTAATAATAATGTCAATTCTGTTATACAATAGATAATTATAAAATCAAACTCTAAATGTTCAATTTCTTAACTTTTGAAATAAAAATAAATTTCCCCAGATAATGCAAAGCTGATATATAAAGCCAAACTATAGGAGCAAAACGTTGTTGATTATTTTTAAGACTAATAAAATTTATAGCTAATCTAAAATTTAGTTTATTCTAAAATGTATTTTTTTTAAAAAAAATCTAATAATATCCTATACACAATTTCAGTGTGATGAGCCCATTAAAACTTATAGCATTCATGTTATCAATATGTTAAGATGTGATTTTAAAACCCTGACTTACCTTAGAGTGCATAATTTCAATCACATTAATTTCAAATCATATTTACTCATTTCATTTTGAAATGATTTTTGAACAAAGTATTAATGACAGAATGAAATATACCAAAATAAATGAATCACATGCCTTTTAACCTATATTCAAAATGTTATAATTGATAATGAAATTTAAAAAAATACAACAAACTAAAAAATATGCATATAATAGGCAGCAGGCAAACCCATAAAAATGTAATTGTAATTAAGAATGACATGTTTTGTCATGGTGGCCAAAAAACACCATTTATAAGGGTAGTCAGATTATAATATTTTAATTGTTATATATGTTGAATACTATAGCATCTTATTGCGCAATTTATTTGTCTCAGCTAATTTGTGACTACAGGAAAAAATAAGAGAATATGAAAATACCTGAAAAATTATTTAGTCATTACCTTAACATATATAATAATTACAAAACCGTAAGGTTACCAGAAATTGACTTCAACGTAATTGAATTTAAAATTTGAATGCTTTAGCATTCATGTCATTCTGCATCATAATGAAAATGAAAGGTATAGCATTCACGTCCGTGAATGTGTTATAATATATAAAATATATTATTAAATTAATAATAATAAGAAAAGGCATCCTGACTGTAAATATAATGCAATGTAATTACAAAGGGCAAATAGGACAAAATTTGGGTAAGGGGTTTTACTTTAATTTCGCCACAGAAAGGCTTGCCCGCTACCTATAACCCATCATATCATATATGTATTCTGTATACTTGTATATTTGAGAGCTATTTCATTTATAAATTAAATTGTAAAGGCATGCAATTGATTTTATGTTATTGTGTATTATTACACTATAATTACAAAGTCTAATAATTGAGCATAACTTCAATAAAAAAAATCCTTCAAAAATTTATTCTACTATCCATATGTTTCATCTGTAGCCTTTATTCAGTGGAAAATAAAAATAAAATTTAATAAAAAATAAAACAATTGATATTGAATAATTATAAAAAGTAAAAAGTAATTGCAATTTGATATTCTTAGTGTTAAAAACAGATCATCTAATTTTCTGTATTTAACACTAAAATTAGCAAACTGTAAGCATTTTTTTAATTTTTATAATTTTTTGATCTCAACTGTTTTGGTTTTTAAATTTTATTTCTAGATTCCACTGAAGGCTAGGGCTATAGCCAAAACATACAGATTGTAAAATTTAGAAAAAAAAGTTTTTTTTACTGATATTATGTCCAATTACTAGACTTTGTTAATACATATGTCAACATATGTATATTTGAGTAAATATATATACAAATTGTTATTTAAAAAGCCCATTGATAATTTATTAAAAAGATATTTTACTTACATGACCCCAGCAGGCGGCTGCATGTACAGGCTGCCACAAATCATGGTCTTTAGGATCGGTTGAAACATGCTGGTCTAGTAGAAACTCTACAACCCGAATATAACCATTTGCGGCCGCAATATGCAACTATAATAACAAATATTTATTTATATCAGATTATCTAGATATTTGAAATGGCTTATTTAAATTTATATACATAAAATTTTGTAATCTGGAATAATATATAAAGTTATATTTAATGCTAAATATATTTTATAAATAGATTATATTATATTATATATAAAGTTACTCACGGGTGTAGCACCCTGATGATCAACCACCTCTAAGTCTCCACCTGCAGCTGCAATGATCTGTAAATCTTCTAGCATTTTAGTTTCAGTTGCTGCTCTAGTTTCATCAATAAGTTCTTGAGTTACTCCCCGTCTGGCCATTTCGCTCTCAATGTAATCCAAACAAGAATCATCTTCACAGATATCATACGGCATGTTACCTAAAAAAAATAATTGAAAATAAGCTCAAAAAATACTTTTCATTATAGTATTTGTGAATCTCATAGAACAAATATTTCTAATACAGTCTTAGACTAAATGAAATTATAAAATGTAGCTATCTCTTTCAGTAGTGATTTAACTATTATTAATATATACCATCAGCATTCACAGCTAGCAAGTTAGCACCCCGAGCAATAAGATATCGCACAAGATGCAAATGTGCGCACGTAGCGGCTGCATGCAATGGCGTCCAGCGCTCACTATCCTGGGCATTTACATCAGCTCCGTACTCTAACAGAAGACGCAACATTTCTTCATTATCATCAATACAACATTGATGCAAAGCAGTTAAACCGTCCTCGTTTGTTGCATCTGGTGTTACACCTTTCTGCAGCAATCTTCGAACTGATAAATAAAAATTATTAATGTTATACTTGCAAATCTACTACATAGAGCAGCATCAATAAAATGGATTAGTATAAATACCTTCAGAGACATCATTTCTAGCTGCAGCTTCCAACAACATAACCCCATCACTGAAATATATGTGGGGTTTATTTGAAGATCTCTCCTTTTTACCATGTTGACGCATCCATTCTTTTTCACGTTGTTTCCATAGCTTTATCTGTTGAACGCGACGGCTAAAAATTATGAGAAGAAATAAATTTAGTTACAAGATAAAATTAAACTTACTAAATTGTTTTTATGAAAGTATGCAATTACTGTTAACAGTACAAGTGTATATTTTTAATGCAAACATTGTGCCAGTATAAATTATTTTTAAAACGTTAAATGCCATGTCAGTCATATGGGGCTAAGAAGTTCTACATGAGCCATTGTGCACATATATGTCTAACAATTGAAATTTGGTAAAAGGAGAAAAAATAGTGCCAAATCAGTCATATATGTGCGATATAAAAAATAGTGTTTTTCCAGGAGTTTTGGCAAAAAACAGTTACAGTTATTAGAACATAATAGTACAGATAAATCGACGTGTGGCAAGATAAGGTATACCAAATTTTTTTTAATAAAGTGTTGTAGTCAAAGCCACGATCAGGGTAGATTTTGTATGTTTTATAATAAAGATATTTTAGAAATTTACGCTGAACTATCTCTATCGCATCAGAGTTGTTGATCTGATGAGGATACCAAATGATCGATCCATATTCTAACTTGGAGCGTACATTTGCATAGTACGTACATACAAAGAGGTGCATTATTTGAATTGAATTCTTTACAACTGTTCAGTATCATTCCTAAAGATTTATGTGTTCTATTACAAATATCAGCTATATGATCAATAAAACCCCAGCCAGAATAAAATAAAATACCTAAGTCTGATATTTTATTAGATCTATCAATGTAGTTGTTAGAGATTTTATATTCAAAATGTATTAGAACGCGCCTATGTGAAAAATAAGTATCTTGCACTTTGAGATATTTAAATGTAGTTTGTTATAGACACCCTAAAAGTGGAAAGAGTCAAGTTAAGATTGTAATAATAAGCAGTCATCAATAGAATTTATTTTAAGGCATTATTTAAGATCATGTGCAAACAATAAATAGGGACAGCTAATAATTTTAGATATGTCACTGTGTACACTGAACGGCTCATATATTATAGTTACTCACAGACGTGCTAGCTGCAATCTTTCTGGATTCGTGAGATGCTCAATATGAGCCATCTCATTCACTAACTCAGCATGCTCCATTTTGACAGCAAATATTACCTAAAATATTGAAATTCTTACTTTTAATATATATCACCATTATATTTGTTAATAAATTAGACCTGTTAGTTTAAATTAAATATAAAAGAATCATATAAACTAATATAATAAAAATAATTAATAAAAAACAAAAATTATAGTACTATTGAGTTAACATTGTTGAGAAACAAATGAATGTTTGATATAGCAATATAAAAAGTATAACACTTACTGATTTTTTGATTAGATATTAATTAAAGCCATGTCCGTAACAGCCGAATATGAATCTCTATTCGTTCATGAAACATTTCTCTAGTTACACATTTTCAGATGTCTCATATTAAATTCACAGATTGTTTAATGTCATTGGAATGATTTTTATTATGGTCTAACATATAGATCACGAGTTTCGGGATTATATCACAATTCATTTTATTATACAGCGCAGCACTCAGCAAGGTTACTTAAATTTGTTTAATTCACATTTTAATGTTAATATTGCTTTTTACATTATTACGTCAATGGCAAGCCCTTCAAATCTGACAAAAAAAATAAAAATATGGCTCAATCAATTTACTGTTTATTTTCTAAGCCATAGACACGTATAAGAGTCAAATCAGAGATAAGTTTCCGATAAGCAAAGACTTGGCACACACTAGCAATAAAAACTTTAATCAAATTGAAAAATAAAACAATTATTAATTTGAATTTAAAATAAATATAAAGCAATACTATAGCTTTAATTGGCTATAATTATGTATATGAACATATAAACTTTATTTATGATCATTATCAAATTGCTATAAATTTAAAACGTCATTGCAGATTCAGTATATAAATACAAAACTAGTGGTATATGGCATCGTGCCTTAAGGCAAATTGCTGGAACTTCCCGTACCGTATTGAAATATTCGAGAAATTTTAAACGTTTTCAAATATATTATTAAAAATACTGTAACTTTCATTATTTTTGCTATCTTGTTATATTTGAGCAAATCAAATGTAAATCATAAATCAATTTATCTCCAGAACATTAACAATCGTCATTAAATTTTAAAAAAAGCCTAATTTGCACAAATTTGCAAAAAAAAAGCCTAAAGTTGCCTAATTTGCACTAAATTGAGTACATTTGCAAATAATTCTGTGCGACATTTTCACTTATACTGTGCTTAGCTTGGCGGCATTTTCACATTTTTCAATAGTTTTCACAAAATTGGAAAAGTGCTCCAGTACATAAACAGTCTAAACGCATTTGAGTAAACACATTTTCAGCAGAAAGTTCTTTGAATTATTTAAATCGGACGCTTAGTTCTCTCAAAAACTGCAATTTTTTCAACATTTAGCTCTGTATCTTCGAAACCTCTGGGCCTACCTTTGCCAAAAATTAATAACCACTTTTCCCCATCATTACGAACTGAATGTTTTTAGAATCATACAAATCGGATGATCCGTTCTCTCAAAAACTCGATTTCTATTTTCTGCACTCTTTGCTCCATATCTCCGTAACGGCTGGTCCTGCCTTTACCAAAAACTAATCAGCACATATCTTTATTAATAGAAATCGAATGCTTTTTAAACCATTCAAATCGGTTGATCCGTGCGCCCGAAAACGTGGACGAAAAAATGCGGACATACAAAACACTCACACACACACATTCATTTTTTCTGAGGTATGCCAAAATGTTCAGAAACCTTTAAAACGTCGAGAAATGCAAAAATTTTCATTTTCGATTTTCGGCCCTTTACTATAACTACCTTTGGGAAGTTAATTAGTTAAATTACAATTGAATAATTATTTTTTAACACATGCACACATTAACTACATTTTTATTAAATTTATTATTATTATTAATTAGTGTATATAGTATCATATAGTAATAAAACATTTTTAGGTATAAATTGTTTTAAACCTTACTGCGCTCATACTAACTTATTTTAAATTATTTATTCATTTTATTAAAAAAACACGCACTCAATAAAATTGCATAACCTCAACAACATTGAATATTAAAAATTAAATTTAGATTTAGATTACAACAAACAATATTAGCGTGCACCAGCCTTTAGAATAGATAAAACAGTGGCAAAATATTATCGTTATCATTATCATTCACCTACCAATGTTTTACAACACCATTTTTACAGGTGCACGATTACTTTTTAAATTTTTATCTAATCAAATATTTTATTATACATTTACAGAAGGATGTAGAGTAATTATCTTGTAATTACCAGTTACGAAATCGTATCATAAAGATAACGCTTAGATATGTTTTATCGTCTTAAAAAATATTTGTTCTTTGTATTTTTAAATATAATAATTGGCATCAAATTAAAATTTTTATCGTCGGTAGATTAGAGATGTTTAATAGAAACATTTATTTTGAGAATGTTAATCTTTTATTATTAATTTTGTTTTTCCTTATTTCATGACAATAAATAGTTAATGATTGTAATTAATAATAACATGAATTCAGATTGGACTGTTTCGTCGAAAAGGATAAAGAAGAACTCTCCAAATAATACAACAATAATTGTAATATAGTAATAAATACTAATATATTATAATCACAGGTAAAGACTAAATAATCTTTATTTATCTATGATTATAATAATCTATTTAAGATAACTAGTGGGGCGCATGGCATCGTGCCTTAAGGCAAATTGCTGGAACTTCCCGTACCAAAAATTATTTTTTTTAATCTTTTTGAAAAAGATTAACATTTTTGAAAAAAAATTACTCTGAAAAATTAGATTTTTGAGAAACTGTAAATTTTTGACAAAAATTTACTTTTTTTTGAAAAAAAGACCTTTTGAAGAAAAGTGTATTTTGAAATATTTTGGAAATTCTGAACTTTTTTTTCAAAGCAATCGTACTGTTTTAACTGAATAGAGACGAAATATCGAAGCGCGTAAGCGTCGCGCCGCCGTCTAACGAATAAGCATTGGTACGAAACTCATAGGAATGTAAACAAAATTATACTTATTGTTAAAATCTCTATAAAATATCTGATAATTTGATGTGCATATGTCTAATGATCATTTTTGATCGCCAGAAGGCATTTTTTTTTACTTTTTTCACTAGATCTCCGAAACCGCTAGACTTGCCTTTATGAAAATTTGACAAGTTCTTCATCTTCTTAATACAAGTAAAATGTTTTTTGAATTATTCAAATAGGACGCTCCGTTCTCTTAAAAACTGAGTTACCGTTTTTGGCACTTTTTGTCCCGTATCTTCGGAACGGCAAGACCTGCCTTCGCCAAAAACTAATCAACACGTCTTCTTATCAATACGAATCGAATGTTTTTTGAATTATTCAAATCGCTTCATCCGTGTTCCCGAAATCGTCGACGAAAATTTGTATCCTTTGTGCATGCTGGCGCAAACAAATACCCACTCGAATAATGGTCATATATATTAGCTCGACGATATATATTTTTGGAAAATATTAATAACAAATTCATTTATATCATTATGCTTATATTCTCCTAATATAAATAAATTATATATATTATAATTTTTAATATTTTAATTTAATAAGTAAAATATTTTCTATCAAGTTTTTATTGTAAGGAGAGCGTATTAGTAATAATACTATAAACAGTTTTAACATTCAAATTTAATTCGAATGAATATTTTAAATGTTATCAAACCGCTGGCGTAAATAATCCGCAAACAAATTTCGGTTTACACCGAACATCACCGAATACATTCGAGTGAGCGCTGAGTTCGAAACGTTTTGCATGGATCCAAACCAAACTGTTGCCGACTGTCACGAAAAAATCAGAATGAGTTTGTGACATTGCGGATCGTTAGATTCATAAATGAAAGAAGAGTATGTTCAGTGATGGTCAGATTAGCTTAGATGGAACGAACCCAATATAAAATAAATGTTTTTCATTTAGATGTGAAGGGTATTTATTAAAATGTGTGTTCACTACCTCAATAGAGAACTAACACCGTCAATGTCGAAATGGCAAGAGTTTAAAGATTCTTAAGACAAATAATATTTAAACTAACAAACAAACTCAAAAATAAATCTCTTAAACTTATATTAAGGGTTAATCATTAAAAATCATAGAAAATTCACTCAATTTTGCAACGAGAATATCCAAACATTTACATAGTCCTAGACGATGTGACGGACACGGATTAGCAAAGCTCCCAGTCATTTTATTTAATTGGGTTTTATAATGATGTAAATAAATATTGCATAATATAAAATAAATAAATGTTTTTCATTTAGATGTGAAGGGTATTTACCACCCCAATAGAGAAATGTGTGTTCATTACCCCAATAGAGAACTAACACCGTCAATGTTCAAAAAGATTCTTAAGACAAATAATATTTAAACTAACAAACAAACTGAATTATTAAAAATCAAATATCTGGAAACATATATCCAATATCTTTGTGAGTGTGTGCACTAACGCAAGCACAATTAAATAACATAATTATAAGAACAACACCTAAGTCAGTTATCATATTCCAAAATTCGAACAAAAATTATCAGTACAAGTATTTTTAAATTATCAAATTATTGCAACAGGTTTCGTTTAAATTAGAAAAAGAAAAAAACACAAATAGCCAATTCGAAATGATGTTTTTCGCACAAGAGTTCCGTACGCAATGCAAATTGTCATTATTTCGATCAGTTGGTAGCATCGCTGCGTTGTTGAATCGCAATTGGTCGGATAGTATCCAATAAGATTTCTCCATCTGTCTGTTTTCTGGCATAGGTGGATTTTGTTGTAAACGTGTGATACATCAAAGTGTACGTCGACGACGAATGCATAAGCCGCATTTGTTATTGAGAAATATATGCTAAAATATATTGTCTCAGAATTATTATAATGTGCTGAGTTTGCATTAATATTGAAACGTTTTATTCATTCTGAGGCATCTATATAAAATAAATAAATATGAAAGCAATTTTGATAACATTGATAGTCGCCGCGGCTGTGTATTCCGTAAGGCCTGAGGTTTTCCTGGAAGAAAACTTCGTAGACGGTAAGTAATACAAAATGAAACATGAAGTCGTGTTTAAGCGGATAATGAAAGTAATTTGTTCGATATAGATACGTGGACAAATACATGGGTTTATAGTGAACACCCTGGCAAAGAATTCGGCAAATTCGTGCACACTGCCGGAAAGTTCTATAACGATGCCGAAGCAGACAAAGGTAATAATAATTAGTGGAAAGAATAAAGTAAAAACCTAATAAAGCACACGCTAACATATATCCATTTTAATCTTAGGTTTGCAAACAAGTCAAGATGCTAGGTTCTACGCTCTATCTCATAAGTTCAAACCTTTCTCAAATAAAGACAAGACATTAGTTGTACAATTTTCTGTTAAACATGAACAAAACATTGACTGTGGAGGTGGTTACTTGAAGGTTCGTCTCGAAAATTAATCATTATAGTGAACTTTTAGAAGTAGAAAAAAACTCACATATTATTTTGCAGGTGTTCGATTGCAAGTTGAATCAAAAGGACATGCATGGTGAAAGTCCCTATGAAATTATGTTTGGTCCTGACATTTGTGGCCCAGGAACTAAGAAGGTTAGTTTTTGTTGATAGAAAATACATATGTTAAAAAAAAAAACTAATACACACTAACAAAGTCTCATTCTACAGGTTCACGTAATCTTCAGCTACAAGGGTAAAAATGTTTTGATCAATAAGGATATCCGCTGCAAAGATGATGTCTATACTCATGTATACACTTTGGTTGTTAAGCCCGACAATACCTATGAGGTAAATTCATATAATTCAAGAAAAAACTGATCAATTATTTTTCAGACTACCCCAGCTTTGCTTTGATCACATATTCAACTTAATTTCTATTTCCAGGTGTTGATTGATAATGAGAAGGTTGAAAGTGGTAACTTAGAAGATGACTGGGAATTCCTAGCCCCCAAGAAAATCAAGGATCCAGAAGCTAAAAAACCAGCAGATTGGGATGAGCGTGCAACTATTCCTGACCCTAATGACACCAAACCTGAAGATTGGGACAAACCAGAACACATTCCTGATCCTGATGCTACCAAACCTGATGATTGGGATGAAGAGATGGATGGTGAATGGGAACCTGCTATGATTGACAACCCTGAATATAAGGGAGAATGGGCACCAAAACAGGTAAATAATAAAAGAAATTTAATGTTAATATCTTCAGAACTGTACATGGAAAATTTTAGTAGAATATGAAAATCTTATGGCCATTTCTACTACTGTTATTGATGTTTATTATTTATTAACTATGATTGAAATTTATTACCTGATACTCATTAATTATTTTATTTCAGATTGACAATCCTGACTACAAAGGTGTCTGGGTTCACCCTGAAATTGATAATCCAGAATATGTTCCTGATACTCAACTTTACAAGCGTGATGAGATTTGTGCCATTGGTTTGGATTTATGGCAAGTAAAGGCTGGAACAATATTTGACAATATTTTAATAACAGATGATGTTGATTATGCAAAGAAAATAGCAGAAGGTGTTAAATCTACCCAGGTTAGTAATATATATTGAGTCTCTTGATCTTAAATATACTTACCCATACTTTTCCTTTAGATACTACTTATGCATTTAAATATTTTGAGCTTTTGTGCTTTTGTCTTTGAGTTTCTGTGATTGTTATTCCATGATTATCTAAATCTAAATGTTTTATTTAATAGGAAGGAGAAAAGAAAATGAAAGATGCCCAAGATGAAGAAGAAAGGAAAGCCAGGGAAGCCGAAACAAAAGAAGAAAATGACACAGATGCTGATGAAGACTTAGATGATAATGCCGAAACACCAGAAGAAGACACACTCGATGCTGAGCACGATGAACTGTGATCTTTAAGTGCTACTCACCATAAACTTTTCACATTGGCTTAATTTATTTCTGTTAAATCATCCAACATCTATACATTAATTATTACCTTGTAGAAAATTGTGTTTGTGAAAAATTTGTCTCCGTTTACTTGAAACAATGAAGTGCATGCCAATTGTGTAATAATCGACTGTGCCCAAAATAAATTATTTAATTCTTGTTCAATAAGATTTTGTTATACGTAAGTTTTTCACTAAATACAAAAATGACTGAAATTGTAATAAGACGAAATAAATAACTTAATTACAAAAAATCCACTTTTTCATAACTTCTGAAAAAATTACTTGAGATGATCAAAATGTGAACAACTATTTGCGCTATAATATGTACCACAATATATATTGCAATAAATTTTGTTTACAAACAAATATGTAACAAACATCTAAAAATATATACAATTAAAATATTATAAAATTTAATAGGATCTTAACTTGAATTTTAAAACTCACTTTCAATAATAGTTGGATAAATACATGTGCTACCATTAAATGTAAACAGAATACATACACAAACTAATTTAGGTAGAAATCCATTGACAGCAAGTCTAATTATTCATTTTCTTTAAAACAGTTAAACATCAAAATAATTCTAAAAATTTACTTATCAACAAGACACAACAGCTGATCGTTTGTCTCGATTTTTATTCCTTGATATTGTGCGAGCTTTAAATGCAGCTGCATTCATCAGATGCTAAAAACAAAAAATTAGTATCAATATAAATTCTGAATGATGAAAACAAAGTAATGTATAGTTCTTACTCGTTCTAATTTAGTTTGTTTATTGATGTTTGCACCAAATGATTCAAGTCTTGGCCCAAGTTCAAAAATATCTCGAATAAAATCATTTTCTGCCAAATGCAAGTTTAAACCGGTTCCTAAAGTTCCACAGATAGCATTGTATTGCCTGTGCAAAGTCCAGGAGTCTAATATCAGTACTTCTGTTCCAAATCTGACCTGCATGTCTGGTGGTATATCTTCCTGTGAAAATTGAATTAAACAGAAAATTTTGTTATTATTGTTAAGTACTAATATTGTATGGAATAATCATAACATTATATTCAAAATATTTTATGGAAACAAAAGCTTGAATCTGATGATTACTAATAATAATTATACAACTTACATACACATACATTATATATATATATATATATATATATATATATATATATATTTAATAGATAAATCCGGGGTTTCTTCTCAAAATCCAATATAAATAAAAAACCATAAATTATTAATTACAATGTTTTGGAATTATAGTATACATTCCATCTCCATCTTTTTTTGTTCGAAACATTTTTTCATTGATTACAGGATATCAAAAAACCTATAAGAAATGGATTATGTACCTTTTCTAAAAAATAAAAATATTAGAAATTGAGAAGTTATTTACCCGCAACGTTGATATATCAATCAATATTTCTCTTTTTTTGTGTAAAACACTGGTAAGAATTATTTGAAAATACTTAAAAATTTTGACTTGCTAAATGAAATTGCAAGTGAATAAATAGTTTTTGCTTCTCAATTTCTAATATTTTCCTACATAATTTCTTCTTTTTTAAGAAAAAGTACTTAATCCATACCTTTACAAGGTTTTTAATATTTTGTAATCATCATCATCTATATTGTTATTTGATAAAAAAATGTTTTTGACAGAAAAACCTGATAATGAAACATATCTACTTCCAAAAAACAAATTGGAAGTAGATATGTTTCATTTTCAGGTTTTTCTGTATATATATATATATATATATATATATATATATATATATATATTGAAAAAATCCCGGACTTATCTATTGTAATATATGTCTATGTATGGTGTGTAGATATACAATTCAGTTATTTACTTCCAAATAATGTAATATATCCCTAAAAGTGGCCCTCTGAGTCTTGCGATCACGTTTAGCACGATATTTATGAGAATCGGTAGCAAGTTGTTTAGTAGCATCAATTAATTCACATAAGTAACTGTCCAAAAAGTCTTCTTGATGTCCTCTGCCAATTTCTAGTAACAGTGCTATGCATTCACCAGCTATCAAGCGCACTTCCAGATGAGAAGATTGTAACAAACCTGCTAATGACTTGATTGATCTGAAAAATATATTTAACTTGTAATATGTGTTAGTTTACAATATCAATTAATTTTTTTCTATTAATATATACGGGAGTGTTCGAAGCCCATCAGCCATAAAATTTACAACATCGCCAGCTGGTATTAATGTTAGCAATAATCCCCAAGAAGACAGGGCTGCTGCGTGCATGGCTCCAGCATCAACACTAATGGTATTTACTGATCCATCACCCTTTGGAAAGAAAAATTGCTGATGTGTAACCAAATAAGTTGCCAATAAATTATCAAACATTATTTTTCTTACCTTCAAATAACTGCTGCTAAATATAAGCTCTAAAGATTTCATTAAAGATAAAATATCACCTAGATCACCACCAGCCAGAAAATTCAGCAAACCCAAGGCTGTGCAGCACTGGAATAATAGAAAAAATTAATCTACTGCCCATTAAATTATAATTAACTTAACCTATTAATAACACTAAATTATAATTAAATAAAATATGACTTGCAACCCAAAATTTAGTTGAAAAAAGTGAAGGTGGCATTTAGAAACAAGTAATATCTATATGTGTTATAGAATTTAATTTTCAACCATCACCAGTCAAAATATTTTTTCACCTGGTTTGGTTAACATTTTGATGAATTTAATGTTTACCTTTCCTCGAGCATCATAAGGTACAGCCGGATCTAAGGCAGTAGTAGTTAGAATTGGATTAAGGTCTCTACAAAGATTTTCACCGCCACCAAGTTGGATGCACAACAATGGAACAACACGAGCAGCTGCAGCTTGTTCTATGCCACGTCCTTTTTTAATAGATCTTTCAATAAGATCTGTTACGGTCATTTGCCTAAAAATGACAATATAAAAGTTATTTGTCATATAAAATAGTATCCAAAGTTTGGAAATAAACATTATTTATCCCTAAAAATTGTAATAAAAATTAAATCAGCTGGAAAAACATCATAATCTTTGTAAATCCATAAATATAAATGATTTTATACAATTATAATATTTAAATCAATTGATAAAGCAATGTTTAAGATCTTAGTATTAGAGATATGTACGCTCCAACTTTACAAATTTTTGTTGATACATAAATGTAATGAAAAACTTAGATAGTATAAAAATAATAACCATTAAATCTAACAAACTGCTCTTAAGGGGTTACATGACTGTAAATTACTCATTAATCAAAATATTCGCCAATTACACTTCAGTCAATATTTTTAAAATACCCTACGTATTTCTCTTACTATGTACAATAAGTGTTTTTTTCTAGATCAAAATTTGCAGAAGCTGCAATGTGTAATAAAAATATAATGCCAATCACATTTGAGTCAATATTTTTAAAATCCCCTATGTACTTCTCTTATTATGTACAAGTGTTTTTTTTTCTTCTAGATCAAAATTTGTAGTAGCTACAATGCGCAATAAAAGTATAATGCCAATCATTCTTCAGTCAATATTATTAAAATAACATATGTATCTTATTATGTACAAGTGTTTTTTTTAGATCAAAATTTGTAGTGCAATGCTTAATACATATATAATGCCAATCACACTTCAGTCAATATTTTTAAAATCCCCTACGTATTTCTCTTATTATAAACATTGTATTTTTATTGTTTTTTTTTTCTAGATCAAAATTTGCAGTAACTACCTAGTGCAATTAAAATATAATGCCAATCACACTTTAATCAATATTTTTAAAACCCGCTATTAGTCCAGTCATTTAAGCTTAAATTAGGTAAGAATCTCGGAATTTGAGATACCCAGCTGTAAGTCTATAAATACTGTATATTGACACACTAAAAGTTGTCTCAAAACCTGCATATGGTACATACACCCTACCATATGCAGGTTTTGAGACAACTTTTAGGGTGTCAATATACAGTATTTACAGACTTACAGCTGGGTATCTCGAATTCAGAGGTGAACTAACTATAATGACTAGACTATATGTATTTCTCTTATTATGTACAACAAGTGTTTTTTCTAGATCAAAATTTGCAGTAGTTAGAATGCATGGAGCCTCAAATTATATGTAAAAATAACAGAGATGCTGTTATTTTTGAATAATTACCCATTTTGTTACTGAAATATAGACTAAATAACTTTCAAAATTACAAAAACACGTTTTTTAGGCTGTAACAGTGGTGTTATACCACAAGTCTAACAAATTTCCGATGTATATTAACAGTTATTGTTACTAGAATTTACACACCGATATCTTTCTCTATATAACAATGATTTATATCGAAAACATAATTTACCTCTCTGCGACAAAATCTGGCATATAACGCTTGAGCAAAATTTCACATATACTATCAAGACATTTAGCTCTGCCTGCAGCAGACTTTTGAGAAGCACCATCAACAGCTTCAATGAATCTTTCTTCCAACTGTTCATTTAGTTTTAATAATCCATTATCTTCATCAGGATCATCACCCACTAGACTCCGTGCATCAGATTGTAAGGAGTAAACACTTCCATTTTCAAGAGAATCTTCATCAGATGTTGTTTCTTCATTACGACCTATAATTTAGAACTCCAGTCAGCAAGATAGATGATTGAAATAAGATTAACAAAATATGCATATGTTTCAAAATAATAACATTACGTCACGCGAGAAGTCAAATTATCAATCACAAGGTTGCAGAAGGTATAATATGATACACGTATTTCAATGCCATATGTTGATTATCGAGATACTCGAAATAACTTAATTAAAGTGATTAGTTAATTAATATCAAACGTCATATTAATACATTACCTAACTTTCCCTTTCTTCGCGTTTTAGGCATGATGATAACCAAAAAATAACCTTTACTAGAGAAATTTATCTAATTTAACACCTAATCAAGATGGCAAATTTTTGGTTATTTGATTTTTTTTTCGTATTCTGAATAAATGACATATAATTAAAGAAGGAGTCTGATTAACGAAAGTAATTATCATGTTTAAACGAATAACATGCGATGAAATCGTGCCCCGTTTGGCAACTAGAAATGCTCGGAAGGGACTGACTTATATGCCCGCGACACTGAATAGATATCGAACAACTAACACAGGCGCACGAAGCGCGGGAGTCCGTTTCAGACGTTCGAAGTTTAGAATTTCACAACCGAGCGCAATTTTCACATATTATTCATATTTCTTTTGTAGCCATTACATATTGTTGTGTAAAATTTTGTCAGGTTTTTAGGTATTGCTTAAATTTAAGTAATTTTGATAAATTAATTTCGAAAATTTACGAATTCACATTTGATCGAGAAATTTGAAGGGTAGCACAGGGGTAGCACCATAGATAAATAAGCATAAAGATCTATGGTGGCACCACTGTAAATTTTTCAATAACTCAAATACTCGTCAATCGCACAAAAATTAATATTTTTAAAATTTCTTACGTATTTCCATAGCTATATACACATCATATGCAATAAATGCTTTTCTTTAAATTGCAGGAATATTTCTCAAAGAAAAAAATTGTCTTCGAGATTTGCTAATTTTATGTTTTCTCTACGTTTCAAGCCATTCTGAATCGAATGAGACCAAATTTGGAAAAAGTATGTGTGCGTGTTTACGTGAACAGATTTTTTGCCGTAAATTGATGTTTGCTCAAAAACGGCTGGATCGATTTCAAAAATTTAAAAACCATTCGATGTATCTCGATGAGGCTAGCATTTATCAAATTGCGCGACAGTCATCCAAGCCGTTTCTTTGTAAATAGCAGAAATGTGAATAATTTTCGTCCACGTTTAGACCGCAATTCTGAATCGATTTTCGAAAATTCAAAAACTCTTCGAAAGATATTGGTTGGTAATCGTGCTGATTAGCTTTTGGTAAAGATCGGCCGGGCCGTTTTTTTTCTGTAATAAAGTGTTGACAAATTTTTTTTCGACGATTTTTACGATTTTTTTATGGTTTTACGACATGTTTTTTTACGACCCTACGACAAGTAGTTTAATTTTAAAAATTCTCCAAAGTTTGCAAAAATTAGTATCGTTTTTTGGCATTTGTCAAAATTTGATCTTTCATCGCCGATTGCTCAAAAGCGCCTCATCTTTTCAGAAATTTAAAAGCCTTTTGATGTGCATATCTCAATGAGGACTATCATTTGTCAGTTTTGTGTGACGATCTGCCAAGCCGTTTCTTTGCAATTTGAAAAAAAGTATCAAACTTTTCGTCCACATTTAAACTCATACTACCGAAACAATTTTAAAAAATCAAAAACTGTTCGTTTTAGGTGAAAATCTACCGAGCCGTTTTCTTGTAATTAACTGTTGAAAAAGATATTAGTTGGGAATTATCCTGATTAGTTTTAGGTGAAAATCTAAGCCGTATTCTTGTAATTAACTGTTGAAAAACAAAATTATGACGATTTTTATGGAACTTTTTTTGGCGATATATATCATGGTCTTATAGAGTTTACTGAAATTCATTCTTCATGTTTGAATGAGAAGTTTTATTGACGTTTGTTATAATTAGAATTAGAGGATTTACTTGGTATAACAATGGAGTACTTGGTCTTAATGAACATACTAAATTAAAATCCTACGGAAACTGGTTCAAAAATTTGCTTTTAAAAAATACTTCGAGTTCGTTCGTTTTCAATTGTAATTGTAATACTTTTGATCACTCATAAATTAATTAATTTTTTTATTAATTAAGTCGATTATTTACACTTATAGGGAAGTTCATGTAACTTGCCTCAAGGCAAAATACCAATATCAACTAGTTTAATTTTTCATTTATTTCATTCTACTTTTGGAGAATATAGGGTGCCTTCTTCAGAAACCCTGAAACTATTTTTTTTTTTGTAAATTAGGCATTCATTAAAAACCCAATTAAACATTGACTAAAAGTTATATTTAAAAATACTTTGAACTATAAGTATTAGTTTACATTTGTGAGTGCGCTTGAATTTTAATTGAATTAAGTGATTAATTTTTTGAGGATGACAGGAATGTTTTAGTTCAAAAAACTAAAATCATATATCTATATATATAAATATTTCTTAAAATAACCATTATAGCATCGTCTTCACGGAAATTTTAAATTAGGATCCATAATTAGTTTCGGCCCGCCATCTATCGTAGAGAAGATACGTTAATATTGAATACATGCAGCCAACTACAATGGCATGACATCGTCTTGAAGTTGTTATGCAGGTTATGTCATACAGTATGAGTTTTCTCTCAAATTCAAAATCGGGTGCATTACCTTATTAAGGATTAATTTAATGAGTAAATGTGCACGAAAACAATAACAAACGCATAAAATAGTAAGAAACCATTATTTAGCGTAAACTTTCATTTCTTCTATATGTCACTCGAATAATGGTCATGTATATTTCTAAGGTTATCTTTGGTTGCACATATATTACTCAATATTAATGATCTCAATAATTACTTCATTGTTGACGTTCTGAATAATTTTAAGATGCTGCAAATTTTGAATTTGACACGTAGGGGATGCATGCGAACTGCTATTTATTCTCATTCTGCATCAACTGCAGCCACTATCATAAAACCCTCATTAGAGAAAAATGAAGCTAATAATGGTGATAGGAAAATTGAAAGTTATCAAAAGAATTCGGGTACTGAGCAACAAGGCAAATACTAAGCAATATCATTGTTTCAAGATTGATACAATTATTTTATATTAACAGGGAGTATGATTGCTGCTGCATTCGCCTCTCTTAATGATGTTGAACAAATGAGTGATAATAAAACCTCTACAAAAGAAATTCCACTTAATTCCAAGCCTATGAGAACGTTTGATAACAAAACTGTTACAGAGAAAATCAAAACTGCAACTTCTGTCAATGAACTTTTAGCAACTACAGAAAATAATAGTGTATCTCGGCAAAACGCACTAAGGGTAATGTCTTTTTGATAAAAATATTATATTAGATTATCAAATGTTATAAACATTACTTAAAAACTGTATTATATATTTTGAGCTCATGTTATATTTGAAGTTTATCCACTTCTGACACTGTTTGATGAAAATCAAAATGGTTTATATGTACAGATTGTATCAACTCTAGCAGAATGGACAACAACAAATAAAATTAAACTCAATGAGTTCGAGTCTGATCCCAGATTTCTGAAATTATGTAGAGTAATTGGGCGAGCAAACAGTGCAGATTTGACAGATAGAAAGACTACGACCTATACTCGAGATGATTTAAACACTCTATTAGAAGTTACAGGGGATGATGAAGCTGCAAAATTAATTGCAACTATAAGTTTACCTCAGATGATCAAGGTAAATATGAGAACATTGAAATAAATATCTTATTGAGTTATTCATTTTATGAATGTACTGACATGTTACATAAGAATTAATGTGAAGCATTACTTCCAAGGACATATATATATATATATATATATATATATATATATATATATATATATATATTAACAAAGTCTAGTAATCGGGCATAACATCAATAAAAAACAAAGTTCACAACAAAGTTAACAATCCCCGATCACTAGACTTTGTTAATACATATGTCAACATCAAATTCAGAATCATACAATATATATATATATATATATATATATATATATATATATATGTATATATATTATTATTTTAGGTAATGTCTACATTGGCCCAGCAGAAAAAAAGAAGCAAGCCTTTACTGCATGCTTTGGCATACAATATAACTCGTAATACCGATGCTTTAGATTTAAAGCAATGTGCTGACATTTTATATTCGATATCTGTATTAAATTACCCTGATCATGTACTTCTGAGCAGAGTTTGCTCAGATATTTCAGCAGGCCTGAATAACAACAAAGATAAATCAGCAGTCGTGGGCTCAATATTGACTTCATTTGGTCTTTTAAAATATAAGGACACCGGTAAAGATAATATAAAATTTGATTGCGAATATAGTAACAATTGTTTTACTAGTAATTTACCTTTTAATCTTTTATTACCATTGAATTTTGTAGATACTTTAGAGTCTCTGAGCGAGTGGATTCTCAAATACAATGAGATCTGCAGGTCACGTGATATTTCAGTTTTAATAGTAACTTTAGCAGTCTTAAACCACAAACCTACAAATTTTGAACAATTAATGAAGGTAAATTTATTTGATGAATATACACAAATATTTTACTATTAACAAAAACATAATAATAGCACAATAATTTATATAGAAAATTTTACAAAAAGCTAAAGAAAATATATTATTATTGCAGACATTACTGCCGCACCTAACACATGCAGATCATCCAAATCCTACAGAGTGGCTTAATGTGGTTTGGTCTTTAGTTTGTTTAGACAAGTGTCCCATAGATAAAATAGAATATGTATTTAGTGATAGTTTCTATAATTTACTAAATGTTAAAAGTATGTATATTAAGCATCATTTCTATTTTAGATTTACTTAACAAAATATGTAAATTATTTACTATCTTATAGATGATTTAACATACTCTGCCAAAATGAAACTTTTGAACATCAAGGCAGCAGCTGATATATTGATGCCCGATAAGATAGAGGCTAAAATAGATATTGACAAAATTAAAGTACAGCACAAGTACTCAAATAGTAAACAAATCATGATAAACTCTGTTTTGGATGCACTGAAAAGCTTATTTGCCTCTGAACAATATTTAAGGTCTATGATAAATACTGACATGGGATTTTTGATAGGTAATTAGATTGTGAAATTACTTGAAATTGAAGTTATACTATACTATATTATAATACTATACTTATACACTTATTCATCAGATGCCGAATGCGTTTTGGACAAAAATTGTAACCCATTGCCACTAACAAGTAACGACAGTTCTGGAATCAGGTATATTTCTTTCAAATAAATGATGATTTATTAAATTATCTTTATATTTTGGAGCTTAACGTTAATTATTGTTACTTTATCATACAGGATAGCTATGCAAGTTCTAGATTATCACGATATGTGTCAAAACCTTCAAGAGCCTCATGGAGCAGTAGCTTTGAGCAGAAGATTACTAGAAGCTCGTGGTTATAAAGTATTATGTGTACCATATACAGAATATCAACCTAGTGATAAATTAATTAAGAGGGTGCAATATCTTGAAAGTAAACTTAAACAAATAGTGAATTCTGCAAAGCAAGTATAATGTCTAATTTAAAATATGTATTATACAAACGATGTAAGTTATTATATATTATTGTGAATAATCTTTTGACAAAATTGATTGAACATAATATATTGATATATTTAAAGATCAGGTTTTGAATGTTTTATTTTTTATTGTTAGTGATTTAACATTGAAAATTGTTTCAATATATCTATATGTATTGCTATTTACAGTTCAATATTTACAAGTAGACTGAGTTAATTTAATCGGTGGTATACAGATAACTACTTCTAATACATAACTGTGCTTTAATGTTTAATGTGGCAATAGAAATATAAATCATAGATGTATATATATATATATATATATATATATATATATATATATATATATATATATATATTAGGGTAGTTCTTGATATGGATAATTCGAATTGCTCGCAGATGATCAAATGCTTCCAAATCTATGAAGAAAAAAATTCTTGAAAGCATTAGCTCATAGTATTAACTTTAAGATAGTCTACACTCTAATCAAAGTCCTATGGAAATAACATGGAAATAATTTCATTTGGTTATTAGAATTTTATAACTCAGCGACAAATCACACATATTCATCAAAATTTTGAGAATAACATTGTATTTGCTACTAATTTTGATTAGAAATAAAAATTTTATAACAGAAATTTGATATAATTTATAAATTATGTATTTACATTTATATATAATAAAATACATTTACATTTATATATTATAAAATAATTAAACTTTGAGTTCGAATGACTCTTAAGCCAATAGATTTAACCAGATATTATAAGAAACTTTTTTTGTAAAGCGTCAAGTTCTCAATATAACATGATACGAATTGTTATTTTCATTCGTTTGTTGTTGAGTTATAAAATTCTAAAGAACAAATGAAATTTTTTCTATGTTATTTGCATAAGAAACTTTGGTTGGAGTGTAGACTATCTTAAAGTTAATATCAAGATAAAACTTTCAGATTTTTTTTTTTCATCGATTTGGAAGCGATTGAGCCCCTGGGAGCAAAGATCTTCAAAAATATTCATATTAAGGATCACCCTAATATATATATATTTTGATGAGTTATTTTGATTCGGGCAGTAACACTAAGTAAAAAAAACTAAAGCAGTTGTGAAAAAGCTTTTTTTACCATACGTTTCGGTTTGGTCAGAACCCTCATTCAGTGGAACAAAGAATTAATTACACAAAAATACACTACACTACACTATTACACAGTATTAAACCAAGCTATTAGTAATTGGAACATTTAAAACTAAATAATTTATTTATTTATTTATTTATTTATTTATTTATTCATAAGCAAGCCGTAATCAATAATAATAGATATTATTTCAGGCTAATAACATATATATATATATGTTGACAATTTTTTTTGTTACACTCTAGTATGTACATAGTTATTGGCGTCTAAATACTGAATTTTCTGAATTACTGAAGTTTCAGTATTTATTCATCATTAAATGATGATCTCGACAAAGACCGAAACGTTTGGTTAAATGAAGACTTTTTACAACTGCTTTAGTTCTTTTACTAGGCGTTACTGCCCGAATCAAAATAACTCATCAAAATATATATCAACACCAAATACTTTAATATATATATATATATATATATATATATATATATATATATATAATAAATATATGCAATTAAATTTTACCATGATTATATTCGTGTTATGATTAGTTTCCAACACTTAAAATAACAAAATATGTTCTAAGGAGACTGACTTGTTATTATCTGCAATTGTATTTCATGAGCCAAAATTGTTGTAAACACTTCAAAATATAAACATCAACTGAGCCATTGTACTAAGTGATGTACAACACAAATGATATGAACCAAAATTGCTACCACCATTAGAAGACAAAATTTTTCTTACTACCAAACTGTGAGTAACAAATAAGAAAAACTTTAACTCCTGCCAAGTTTGTAGTTGCCTTAGCTTAGGCAAACTTACAGCTATATTCACATTGTGCAGCTAACCTTCAACATGAAAAAATATTGAGGAATGAATCATTTACAGGACATCAAATCCATTACTTAAAGTTGTGATATGAGCAACTACAAGGCTGCGATGTATGTATGTGATTCAATTCATCATATCAAACTTATTCTAATCATGTGATTTACTTACATCAAATATTGTTATTGATGTGAGCTTCTTATGGACACAAAACAAAAACTGTACACTACTACGTTATGATACATCCACAATACTTATTTCACTTTACCTGAGCATCCTTTATAAAAAATCTTAAATCCGATTTTATTAGACAAGCGCTATCAACATTTGTTAATAGTTTAGATATTAATATTTAATGCGTATTACAATATTTATAAAAATATATAAAGAATAGATAATTCTACTTCTAGCAATAGAACTTGACTCAATATATCAAATTTACATAAATGCAAAAGCTATATTTTATGTAGGATCACTATTTATTTCTAACTAGAATCTAGTTTTATTATATTACTAACATCTTATATATCAATTTGTTCTTCAAATACTTTAATTGATTTTGTAAAAAAATATTTGTGAATCCACCCACAATAATCTTTGCAGTGTACTAGTAAAAATAAATAAAACTAATCTATGCTCAATATCAAAATCTATACATTATATAATAAAACTATTAAAATACATGTACATAATTACAATATATTAACAATCTAAGGTAAAATATTCTTAATAATAATATAAAACAAAAATACAAACCAAAGCCATCCTATCCGGGTGGAAGACAGAATACATCATGTATATTATTTGAAGACCATCAGACTTTGATTTTCTAGATCATATTTACTACACACTGCAAATATTACATCTTCAATATATCATATCACACATCAATATTCTATTTTTCAGTTCCCACTGAATTATTACACCAATTCAATCTCTTATGAACTATTGACGAATTTTATATATTACAAAACAGACTCAATTTGTTTAATTTCTCGTGGGGATGAATTGTTTCTTGGTAAGGTTTCTTCTGGTTGCCCCATAGGACTGGGACATGTTTCTACAATTCGTGGGACCATTGTTATTGGATCATCCTCATCTTCCTCCTCTTCATCTTCATCTATTGGTGTCAGCACTTCAGGATACATTGGTTGATCTTGTGGTTTCACGCATCTGAAGGAAATTGTTTTAATACAATGCTTGCTTTTGAGATAGTATTTATTAACTTCCCGTAGGGCAAGTAATAGTAATCGCAAAAAAATCGAAAATATTTTTTTTTATATATCTTAACGTTCCAGAGGTAAAGGAAAGTTCCAGAACTTTTTGGCATACCTTACTTAGAAAAAAATGAATGTGTGTGTGTGTGTGTGCGGATACAAATTTTCGTCGACGATTTCGGGAACACGGTTCAACCGATTTCAATTATTCAAAAAACAATCGATTCCTATTATAATAGGAGTCCGATTTTAATAATTCAAAAAACATTTTACTTGTATTGACAAGATGAAAAAAAATTAAATTGTATTATTTAAAGATAAATTTTTGGGAAGGCAGGTCTAGCGGTTTCAGAAATCCAGTAAAAAAAGTAAAAAAAAAGCCAATTTGAAGATAAAAAATGATCATTAGACACACGCACATCAAATTATCAAATATTTTATGGAGATTTGAATAAGTAATGTGTATCAATTTTGTTTATATTTCTATGGGTTTCGTAATATCTTTTGCCCGTTAGACGGCGACGCGGCGCTTACGCGCTTCGATATTGCGTCTTTATGCAGCTAAAGCAGTGCGATTGATTTGAAAAAAAGTTCAAAATTTCCAAAAGATTTCAAAAAAAAAAAAAAAATATCCAAGTTTTTTTCCAAAAAAGTCTTTTTTTTTCAAATATTTAAAATTTCTCAAAAATCTAATTTTTGAGCAATTTGCCTTAAGGCACGATGCCATACACAACTAGTTCATTCTACAATTGTTAGTTTAATGCTAGAATCTTACAAAACTCTGACTAAAAATTAGTAATGAGAAATCCTCCTTATATATGAGTGTATTAAAGTCTAATACGAATCATTTATTACCTTTTCATAGCAGGAGCCATAAAACTTGTTATAGTTGAGATCGCAAAAAATGCGCCTGCCATGTAAAACGGAATCGAATATGAATTTGTTGCATCATATACAGCACCAGCCAAAGGAGATCCAATTATGGCAGCTGCACCTCTAAACAATATTAGCAAACCAAAAGCATTTGTTAATTTATCAAGGCCCAATAGATCTACCAGTATAATAGACGTCAATGATATGTAGCCAGCTAAAAAGAAATATAAAATTAATATCCAACGGTATTAAGATTTTTAGGTAATTAAAATGAATCATACGTACAAATTGCAACGCCGAAGAATACGGACATAATTATATACGCGGTATAAGTATGGCACAATGGAGTAGCTGCAACTGCTAAAGTAGAAATTACAAGGCATATATTGTTGAGCAGTAACGAGTTAACCCATGGAAAATCAGCAACATATCCACAGGCAACACGACCCACAGTATTAGTAATACCAATTATAGACAACAAAAAGGATGCAGAGTTCTGTTCAATTCCCTGTAAAGAACAACAAAAAATGTGAATGAAGCAATATAAAAATCAGGACGTATCTATTTGAATCATATTTTTAGATATTTATATAAATTATAATGTATTTATATATTAACCCTTTCGCTATAAGCGTCGTCTATAGACGACATCCGCACGATGCTTTGTGTGTACGGGTGTCGCCTTTAGACGACTTCACGTTGATCTTCACTTCAAGATTTGTCACTCTAATCATAAGTTAAATTATTGAGCATTTTAATTTAGTAATTTTTAGATCCAAGAAGTATATTTTTAACTTCTCGAAGAAGAAGTTTATGTTTTCATAAAAAAAATCTTATTCGCTAATTTTATATTTTCTCGACGTTTCAAGCTATTCTGAATCGAATGAGACCAAATTTCGAAAAGTATGCGTGTATGTGAACAGATTTTTTGCCGTAAATCGACGTTTTCTCAAAACCGGCTGTACCGATTTCAAAAATTTAAAAGCCATTCGATGTATCTCGATGAGGACTATCGTTTTTCAATTTTGTGCGATAATCGGCCGAGCCGTTTCTTTATAAACAGTAGAAAAGTGAAAATTTTTTCGTCCAGGTTTTAGCCCGCAATTCTGAATCGATTTTGAAAATTCAAAAACCGTTCGAAAGATATTGGTTGGAAATCGTGCTTGTTAGTTTTTGGTAGAGATCGTAGAGTTTTCTTGTAATAAAGTGTTAATTGTGAAAATTTGCTTTCAGAAAATACTCCGAGTTAACGCGTTCGTTCGTTAACTCATAAATTAATTATTTTTTTATTGATTAAGTCGATTATTTACACATATCGGGAAGTTCATGTAACTTGCCTCAAGGCAAAATGCCAGTACTAACTAGTTTTGTTTATAAATACATCTTAAAATATAAAAATATGTTTTGCGCCTGGTTCGTTCAATAGCGCTACTGGGTGCCTTGCTGTTCCGTATAGCAATGTCTTCTGCAGAAAACACTGCCGTAGCGAAAGGATTGAATACAGTTTGTTTTTGCCAGAGTATCAATAACTTAGTACAAAAATCTATAAAAATATTTACATCAAGAACGGCTGCGTCAACGAGGTAAACGAAAGGTACATAGAGTCCAGCCATTCCAAAAACATTAGAAATTCCAATTAGCATAAATACAGGGTCTTTCAAAAGGGAGAAATCCATCATTGTCGCCAAGGCGCTCTTGAAAGATTCCGGAATAACCAAACATGGACATAGATCGTACTCTGTAATAAATATGTACACATAAATAATGTATATTGTTTGGTATGTTATCAACTATATTTTAAATTAAATTGTAGTAAAATAAATAGTGCTCTAATTTTTAAGAAAATTAATTTTACTACATACGTTCAGCCTTCTCGATGTCTCGTCCATCTCTCATATCCCTAGCGTATCTCGGCAAAGACACCACCGAATTACGATAGTTCGTCAAAGACTTCTGCGACTGGTACTCTGGAAGATTTACCACAGAACCTGAGTAGAATATATCCTTTCGAGACATCGGGCGCACGATTTGTGGTCGTTCTCTTGCCAATGATGTTTTTGAGGTAAACATACTAGCAGTTTCATCCTGAATTCGTTATAAAAATATAAATATGCTATATTGATATCGAGATATAATATCTCATATATTGGTCAGAAATAAATGATCTAACACGTTGTTTAACTTATATTGACAAGTTTGGTTCCCATTGAATTCGAAACCACATATAGCAAACAAATGTAAGAAATCACATATTACGACACCAAAATAGAACAAAGACAATAAAATTATACGACCATAGTAGGAAACGCGGCATAATATGATACATGTAACAAATAAGTTGACCAATATTGAACCCGATCAGGTTTTATGTGGAAAAGCGAGCGACTTTAAGAAGACTAACATTATATGATAAAATCAAGAACATTTCTGTAGACTCATCTTCATTATGCTTTTAATAAAAACATAATGAAGATTTTGCATTAAAACTTTTTTGCAAATGCCATCTGACATTTATATTCAAAATGTGCATTTGTTAGGGTCCAGTGCACATAAAAACGTTGCAATGTGAAACCAACATATTCAAACATAACATAAGATTTTTTTAAAGAAAGTTTTCTATTGCAGCATATACAACGCATTTATGTGTATTGGTCCTAAAAATACGTGATACTTGCATAATCATCGCTGTTGTTATTTCGGCTCCCCATCATCATAGAAGATGTGGACAATCTCAGATTCATGCTCTTCCTGACATCGCCATTGCTGTTGACATTCCCTCTCGAATTAGACCTGATCGCAGCCAGAGACGGCTTGAAGCGCTCGCCCTGAGAAATCTTTCTTATCCTGTCGAAAGTAGGCACCGATCCATTCTTGGGCAAGCCTTGGTGATGGGTTGTGAAAGCGGGCTGGGATGCATTCCTCGGCATTGCTCCGGCCCTCGTGGTCGGGAACTCTTGATCGCCGGCCTGGGTGGTAAACACTTCACACGTCACTCAATTATATCACCAGACGTGTACTGCAGCAGAGACAAGCAAATGATCTGCGTTACGGATAGATGAGCATGATGCGAATGACGGAGCGAACCATTTTCGGTTGATGGAGCGCACTCAGGAATTTTCGGACCTAAAGAGTATCGAGACAAAATCGAGTGGTCAAATAAAATGTGGCAGTTTTTGTTCCTTAAAAAACAGAGCTGGTTGAGATCTCTTGACCTGCTGGATAACGTTCTTAGTGCAAAGGTATATTAGATTCACATTAATTGATTGATAAGGACTATCTATAAACGCCAATTTTATATGTCAAAGCTGGAATAGAGTATCTTTATATCTTCGAAATTATTTGTTCTCAATGCTCGACACTAAATTACCGGTAAAATTCCTGAATGCGCGTTAAGCCATCCCCGGTTCAAGTGACCCGTTAGATGAACTTGATTGCATGTTGGTGAATCTGATCAAATTGCAATAGATTCACATATATAACCACGTATAAATGATTCAAATTCATGCTATTTCAATGAAATTTAGAAAGTATATGGTGATTAAATTGCGATTAACATTTACAATGAAGAACGCCTTGATGTTAAGGGGCACAACTAGTGTGAAATTTTCAAAAAATCCAATTTTCAATTTTTCCATATTTCGATAGGTTATACCATTAAAAATAACATACCAAAATTTTAAATCGATATCTTAAATAGTTTTTGATTCACAGCCATTTAAGGAGTATATATATAGTATATAGTATACCGATCATTTTATCTTTAAACGCGTTTTTCTCGAAACAGCATTTTCCGAATTTGCTGCAGCGATTACTCAAAAACTAATGATCCGATCACTATCAATTTTTTTTTACATGTTCTATATATAGTTCTCCGTAAAATGAACTATCAATTTTTTGATTGAATCAAAAATCGAATTTTGGCAGTCCAAAAACGACCAAAATTTTGGGTAAAATACGACTTTTTTTTAAAAAAACGTTGCATTTTGTCAATTTTTGATTATCTAGTTTAACGCGCAATATTATTTAGTTTAACGAGATTTTTTTTTTTAATTTCATCCACGTAGAAGGCCGGATTCACTGCAGCAGTGAAGGGCCTTTTTTTGTCGCGCCCTTGGAGATCGACGATAACTTAAAAAATATTTAATTTTCTTCTTCAAAAATTTTACTCTGTATTCTTAAAACATGTATCAATATATTCCCAAAATGAAATAATTGATAAAGTAGTTTTTTTAATATAAATTCCTAAAAATCGCCTTTTTTTATGCGGTTACACTAGTTGTGCCCCTTAAGGTATCTTATCCGAGCCAAATCATTATACAACGTGCATCATAAATGAATTCTTTACATTATGGCAATTTATATTTCAAATGACATCTAACATCTTTGATTGAAGCAAATACATAAATTTGGCTTGAAAGATAACCGTGTCCGTTTAAAAATAAATAAAACACAAAATTAATACATGCACCAATAAATCAAAACGGACCTTAGATTCCGTTCTTGCAGGTCTTGTTGAATTCTTAACAGCATCAGTATCTTCTCCCTCGCCACTACCATTGCTCGAGTTTCCAGATGATCCACTTTGTTCTTGCACTTTAGCTTCAGAAATCGTTGGCAACGTGGCCACCGTGTGCAACGTGTTATTCATTGGTGTCCCGGGCATGCCTACCAGTTCGTCCAAATGAAAACTAGAATGAACTCCAGGATCAATGTTGATCGGCATTTTCATGCGTTTTTCCATGCTTCCATCGGGTAGTTGTACCATGAAATAAGAACCGCCAATCGAACCTCGTTCCATTTGGAAACGCTTTTCTTCGGCCATGCGTTGCAACAGCGGCTTCACATTGGATTGCTGGAAAAAATCGATAAAACATCAAATATACTCATTCGTCGATTTAGGAAATAGTAATAAAAAATATTGCTAGTATGGGTGTGAGGTTTAAATATAACTTAAGAGTATCAGACTTAACTTATTAAAGAAGACAGAATTGGTAAACTGATATAGAACGGATGATCTACAGCCTTCAACATTTTATTCACAACAATTAGAAAATAAATAAAAAAAATATCACAAAGCTTTTCGCATAGAGTAATTTTAAAACTCATTATCAAATTCAAATAAGTGGTGCTTTATTTGTTCAAGACAATGCGAAAAGCCGATATATTTAGTTCGACAGCAAATTGAAAGCTTTCAGACGTGAAATCGGTGAAGTGATCTTGAAACTTAACAGGCTAATGAACTTGGAATGATATGATTTAATGGATCAATTGAATCAAAGGGAAATTGTTCGCTGATGCTCATGGAACTTAAATATACAAGTATTGACATAGAGTCGAATGTAATCGAAATATTAATATACCGACCACGTTACAGATTTTCAGGACGAGTTCGAGAGAAATTTGATATTAATAACAGAGCACTATTGACACACATTTTTTTATTTTGGTTATACACAGAATAATAAGTCAAAAATAATATCATGTTAATGTAAAAACAAAAACTAACCCTTTCCATTCGGATGCCGTCGGCGGCATTATACAAATAAATGTTGCAATTCGCGAGTGGAAAGGGTTAATAATACAATTTCTTGTAAGCCTAATTTTTTATACATATGATTCGAATAGAGATCAGAACTTATAGGTCCTATAAGCTATTGTTAGGATTTGAAATAACTAACTAAGTGGAATTTATAGATGGCAACCCATATAGATTTTCATTAGAATTTCTGTAATAAGGATGAATTTTTATTAAGGCAGGTAACATATTGCTCTCTATATTTCCAAGTAAAAATTGATGTCGCTAATGCTTGGGATCAGGCTGACCAAATTGGATGCCGAATCTGGGAGACCTGGTGGTTTACGAGATGATGGAAATCAGGGTTATTATTCCACATAATGTGGCAAATTTATTAATAGCAAATGAATATTTTGAAGTAAAACTTCTTTAGGCGCGACTAGAGAGTACATCTGTGAAAATGTAGCGGAAGTTGCGTTACGCCGGAACTGTTCGTCATTCGTTCTCGGTGAAATCATTTCTATACGGGTCGATTGTGATTAGTCGTCGTGTCGAGTGAATAGAGATCTTTCGTTGTACATCAACGAAGAGATCAGAATGTCATTAGATTTTAAGGTTACATCGTAGTACAAATCTTAATTTAATAAAAATTGCCTGAATTAGAAGAATATTTTACCCTGTCCCCCGTAAATAATTATAATGAAAATAATAAAACAAATGAAACATTACTAGTTTATTGAAATAATTTCTATATTATTCGTAGTTTCTATAAATCTTTGAAGTTATTAAAATGGAAAATATTTTTGTATGCAAGACAGATATTACAGCTGCTCAAAGCATGAGATTATATCGCCAGCGAAAAAAAAAAAATACAAGTAGTCAATGAATGTATGTTAATTTTAATAACATGAAGTTCTTCAAACACAATTATATGATGAGTGAAATTGTGAAAACAATAGGAGTTGTTTAACATAATCCACTCTGTGAACGAATATTATATAATTTATTAATTAGCAATTACTTCATTTCTCTATTAAAGGCTCATTTCTAAATGCTAATTACAATGACAAACCGATCATGTCATATTTGAAGTATGACTTTAATTACATTATTGTTTTCGAATATTATAAATATTTTTATTGCTATTATTAATATATAATTTATAATTTATTATTATATAAATATGTTATATGATGTATTTATTTTTTACTTAAATACCATCTCGTACAATAGCAAAAGAGTTGTACTTCAATCGCGTGTGTACACTCTTTTTTTTGCTAACAAGGGGACAAGAAATATTTTTATGTTATTTGTAAAATAGAAATTGAGTGATACTATTGTGAAAAATGTTTTGAATAATAACATTGTGTAGCAATTCTTTAAATCAAAGTTTGTCATCACCAAATTTTAAAAACATTTTTTAAAATACAATTACACTATGCTAATTATAAGCATAGAAATTATATTTAAGCAGCTTATAAATTGTTATATTTGGTTCATTACCAATTTTTGGGACAACCTGATAGAACAAGAATCAATGTAGCTGTACCACTGGCAGTAGTACATACCAGTAGAAACTTACGTTTATGATAACCTAGACAATTTATTATTTTATTACCTTAGGATAAACCAGTGGCCTCATCATAGCTCCGAATACTGCGCAATTGAGGATGAGTCCAGCCAATATGAGATTGGCACCTCTCCAGTCGAAGTGTTCCAGCAACAACGTGGCCAAAGGTGCGAAAGTGAAGGTACCGAAACCGGAACCGCATACCGCAATACCTGTCGCTAAAGAACGTTTCGTCTCGAAGTAATAACCGACGCAAACGACAGCTGGTAAGTAAATCAGACCGAATCCAATGCCTGGAAAAGATAAAAATAATGAATAAATTGGAATCTTAATATTAACTTATTTAGGTATTATAAAAATACTAGATGACCCGGTTGTTTTGCTAAGTAAGGTATATTCTAAACAATTTCTAGAGAATCAAAAATATGAATACTTTGAGTGTATAAGGATGTGTTGTTTGAATGCTATATACAATGAGGTACTATGAAAACAATAATCCCCATTAGTTTGTCTATATTTTGTCAATACAATCAAACTGGAAGTTTTATACACTTTCTATAGAAAACATGGTATAATCCAATCCAAGTCTTTTTTGGTCTTTCGACTTATTGATTACGTTTTAAGTTTTTCAGATTCTTTTTGGATTCTGGATTTTGTGTATAATTGTAAATAATACTACTGAACTTATACAAAATTTTCAAATTTATGCGAGGAGAGATAGAAAATTAATTAAGTATTCTTCTTTGACCTGCTTTTTGAAAAGTTTCAAGTAACATTTAATGAAATAACTTTTATTATGGATTTTCAAAGATTACCATTTATCTCCCGATAGCAGGATCATGAGAATCAAGGTTATAGCTGGTCATACATCTTGTTCCCTCTACTTTCAAATATTGTTGGCGGTGGACCTTTTTAACCCCGGACCTTCATATATTACTATCTATTCTTCGATAAATTCTGGGAAATTATAACTGGGAAAATGTTATTCGACGAAATGTCCCTTTGATCGATACCAAATTTAGGTTCTGAATTTAAATAACATAAATAAAAAATAATATAACCCAGGAAATGTTTTATAAATACCAATGAGTATATAATTATACAGATCCGAGCACCGTGTTTAAGAAAAATATGCAAAAAGTGCATTTTCATATTAATATTTAAAAAAAGTTGATATTTTGAGTCTCTAGTAATACTTGCAATCAGTTTAATAACGTTTTTGCGTATAAATATAAATACGAACAAAACTACTTACTACAATTTAATCATAATTAAATAATATTCATGTAAAACATCCTATTGAACGTAATTGAACATCATCTGTCAAAAACGTTTGACATTTCACGTATTAGCCACCGTCCATTGTTTTATTTAAATTACGCTTCTACAACAATTTTCAAATTAAAAATGTAAAGTTTCTACGCGATTTCGAAATATTATCTCACCTTTCCGACCTTCTCTGGATTGGCACGAATTTTTCAAGACTAAGACTGGCCAAATCGGTTTAGCCGTTTTCGAGTTTTACCGGATCATTTGATCGAGAGCTCCATTTTTATATATAAGATGAAGAACGCCCATATCATGTTTTTTTCTCAATTGCATATTTAGGTGTAAAATTGTATAAAAGTAGATGTTTTTAAGCTTTATTTGTTAGAAATTTTGTTCAGCGTAGTAAAATTTGAAATGTGCGATGATGCATATAGGCACTGCACAATTTTCACAATAGTAAATATTATAGTAAAAGAGGACATTTTTTCTTTCTGGTAAACAAGTCACATATTCTTGATAAGTAGGTACCAATTATACATATTATTGCATTTCGAAAAAAAAACGAACTCGTGAGTCGCATGGCATCGTGCCTTAAGGCAAATTGCTAGAACTTCCCGTACCAAAAATTATTATTTTTTTAAAAGATTAACATTTTTGAAAAAAATTACTCTGAAAAATTAGATTTTTGAGAAACTATAAATTTTTGACAAAAATTTGCTCTTTTTTTTAAAATTAATGATTTTTTGAAGAAAAGTGTATTTTGAAATATTTTGAACTTTTTTTCAAAGCAATCGTACTGCTTTAACTGCATAGAGACAAAATATCGATGCGCGTAAGCGCCGCGCCGCCGTCTAACGGATAAGCATTGATACGGAACCCATAGGAATGTAAACAAAATTTATACTTATTATTAAAATCTCTATACAAATAAAAATCTGATAATTTGATGTGCATATATCTAATGATCATTTTTGACCGCCAGATGGCATTTTTTTTACTTTTTTTTACTAGATCTCCGAAACCGCTAGACCTGCCTTTATGAAAATTTTAGTTCTTCATCTTGTTAATACAAGTAAAATGTTTTTTGAATTATTCAAATCAGACGCTCCGTTCTCTTAAAAACTGAGTTACCGTTTTTGGAACTTTTTGCCCCATATCTTTGGAACGGCTAGACCTGCCTTTGCCAAAAACTAATCAGCACGTCTCCTTATCAATACGAATCGAATGTTTTTTGAATTATTCAAATCGCTTCATCCGTGTTCCCGAAATCGTCGACGCAAATTTGTATCCGAACACACGCACACACATACACACACATACATCCATTTTTTTAAGGTATACCAAAATATTCAGAAACCTCTGAAACGTAAAGTAAAAGTGAAGGTAAAGATATATAAAAATTTTCATTTTCGATTTTTTTGCGATTACTATAACTTACCCTACGGGAAGTTAAAAAATTAGCATCGTCTGTTATCATTCTCAATGAAGGTAAAATATAAAATTTGGTTAATAAAATTTTGAGCACAATTAAAATTCATAAAAAAAATTCGCTACGTATTTGTCATTTTAGCCTATTTTTTAAGTATTTTAACTGACGCAGCAAAAGTTTGTTTCCACCAGAAAAACTGATTTGCTAATTCCATGATTTTTCAACGATTCAAGTGATTCTGAATCGTTTAATATCAAAATTGGATAAAGTGTATATATGAGCCAAAATTTGTTATTCCGTTGATAATTCAAATATTTAAAAATTTTTGCTTTGATTATTTTAATATGCGACGATTAGCCGAGCTGTTTCTTTATAATTAGCACAAAAGTACAAAATTCTTCGAATTCATTTCCGTAAAAAAGCTGAACCGATTTTGAAAATTTGAAAACTGTTAAAAAAATGCCAGTTAGGATCAGTGCTGATTAATTTATTATATATATTGGCTGGGCCATTTCTTTATATTGTAGATGAATTTCAAAATTCTTATTGATTATGTCGATTGTTTACATCTAACGCAAAGTTCATGCAACTTTCCCGAAACAATATACCACTTATATGTATTTCTATTTAGGGTATCACAAACATTGAAAATAGTTCAACATAAACTCTACACCTAAAATAATTGTGAAACTTACTATGTTGCACCATATTATTACTACATGTCAAAAAATAACAGGCAAAACATGTAATACACGATGTTGTATCGTGACTTGCTGAATTACAGAAGAATTCCGAAGTTCTCAAGATGATAGTAGAAGTGTATTATGGTAAATTTTTAATGATATTAAAATAATTTAAATTTTGCTATAATTTTAAATAGAGAGAAATAATTATTTCTCCATTCAATTTTAATTGGATGAAAATGTTATTGAAATCATGATCAAAAATAATGTGGAAAATTTCACGTTAGCGATACCTGTCTTCAGAATAAAGTCAATCAATCAAAATTCATTCAAGTCATATAGATAATTGTAATTTCTTCGAAATTAATTCGTTTGTTATAAAATATCAAATATCGATGTAGGAAATGTTGACAAATGGTACAAAATTAATTTAAAAAATACACCAATTTTTTATACAATTAGGCACTTCTTCAACTTACAATTAGATAGAGACTGAACTTTACATAGATAACAACGGATCTTTACAAAGCCATTTCTTATTGATCTTTACAAATCAGAGCTCTAATCTTATAAAACCTTTCCGGAATCTTCAAAAATATAAAAAGGTTTCAAGATAGAACGTGCTCAAATTTTAAACCTCAAAAAGACAAACTCAGTTTAGGTGTATTTCAATTTCAATGCAATGACAAAAAAATACGAAATATCATGTGGGCGAGGCAGGGTATAGTAAGATATCACGTGCATTTATTTCTTCTCTGAATTAAAAAAAAATCCAAACATTTTTTATGGCAATTTTAAATATCACCACGTATCACCAAGAGGAATGGGGGTCCAAAAATCCTTAAGGGGGTCTTCCTATGTGATGGGTTGAAAAAATCGATTTTTTTTCATAAATTGCTTCCTTAACATGTCTAGAATACGGTAGTAAAGCGATTTTAGAAAATTCGAAGCCGTTTTAAAGATACAGCAGGTAAAAGAAAGAGCGGTTCGGAGCGCTGAGTTGGCAGTTAGAGCCCGGGCCTAATGTGTACCGTATTGTGTATTGTATACCCGGCCTCCCTTTTATTCATATATCCGTTTATACAAAGTTTGTTTAGGAGCAGAGACACAAAATAATAACGAATCTTTGAATTCTTTGATTTGGACTTTCGCTCCTAAACATCTTCATTCTGGTCCCAAAATTGTTGAAATTGCTAGCTACTTAGCAGTTATTATCTTTAATGAAGGTTTTCAAGGTAATTTAAAAGTTATGTCGATTATGGGATGCCCTGTTGGTCGTGAAGCCCAAGCGTATGTTGAAAAACAGGATGAAAAGCGAATCTTACGTTCTGAGCGGCGCGTAAGTGATGTCGTTAAACAAGCCAGGATTGACTCAAGAGCTGAACAATCTGCTTCAAAAGAGTTTCACGAGGAAGAGGAAGGAATACTCTATGGACCAGGCATCGCCGATTGAGAGTAAGTTGATATTTTAATAGTTTTTAAGGGACTTGAAACTTTAAACGCGTTTTTCTCAAAACTGTGTTTTTCAAACTTTCCTCCATTGTATCTCAGAAACGGCTGGACCGAATTACTTGAAATTTACAGGGCACACTCAATATATTTAAACGCATGGAATGAACTATTTCAAAACTTCGATTTTTTTTTATAGCAAAAAACAAAAAAAAAACGCCTAATTTGCAACTTTTATTTCAAATGTCTATCAAAAATCCAATTTTTTTTATATTCATTTGATTATAGGTCATTCCGTGCTTTTAAGCCTACAAATTAAAACGCCGTTTATTTTTTTTTTCAGATAAGCCGATCAGCCGGAATCGTGGAGGAAGTGGGAGCTCTTTTTTTCGAGGCGGGGGTGTTCAGAGCGCTGTAACTCTAGTTTGACTGAATATTTTTAGCTGAAATTTTATATTTATACTGTCCAAATATGTGTTAGTAAATGATAAAAAACTTAAAGCTCTAAATATTTACTGGTCGTAGAAAAAAAGTCCTAAAATATCCCTAAAAAACAGGCCGTCACATAGGAAGACCCCCTTAAAAAATCGATCACGTGATTAATGGACGCACTTAGGCAATTAGGTGGTGATCCGATTTTAAATAGAATCAAATAGGATATTTGTATTTGTTTGCTTGTGTAGACATTGTTTTTCCATTTCTATTCGGTTTAAGTTCGTTTCCTACTCACCTCCCATGACGCCGTACGTGATCATTAGCGTGGTAACTGATCCGCTGAAAGTACTGAGCACGAAGGCAGAACTTGCAATCAAACTTCCCGCTATGCAAACTGCCCTACAGCCGTACTTATTCGTCAGCGCCGACACCACAGGCCCTGAAATAAGAGACAAAGAAAATTTTAGAAATTTACCATCAGGAACATTCACATTATCATTGAAATATGGCAAAAATTATTGTCATTCTGTTAACAGAACTTAAGGAGTCCTTGAAGCTATTGTGATGACTGCTCAATGATGTAGCTTTATAGATGGCAACCCAACGGTTGTCCTATCTTTATTGATGAGTTTATTAAAAATTTAAATAGTGGTGACTCGGCTGCAGCAATGCCGAGGAAGTGCCATTTTCACTTGGAAACATATTGCTACCTATATTATTGAAGTAAAAACCGATGTCACTACTGCATAACATCAGGATGCCCGAGACGAGTATCCAACCTGAAACTTTTTATGATTATAGCTTTAACTGCTAAGTAACGAAAAAACAACATATATTTTTTTAAGTATATAATTTCAAGTAAAAATTTAGTATCATGTTACTTGATGTCAAGCTAGCAATTAGTGGATGCTAATCTACGTTCTTATCACGGGGCCACGGCTGGTTCATCCTAACCAGTTTGTTTCATCCTAACTTAAGGAGTCTTATGATGACTGTTCAATGACGTAGCTTCATAGATGGCAACACAACGGTTGTCTTATTTTTATTGATAAGTTTATTAAAAATTCAAATAGTGGTGACTCGGCTGCAGCAATGCCGAGGAAGTGCCATTTTCATTTAGAAACATACTGCTATCAAGTGAAAACCAATGACACTACTGCATGACATCAGGATGCCCGAGACGAGTATCCAACCTGATTTTATGCCTATAGCTTTAATTGCTAAGTCACAAAAAAGCCAAAAAAAGCAAAATATATTTTTTTACATATATAATTTCGGGTAAAAATTTAATATCATGCTGCTTGATATCAAGCTGGCAACTAATGCTGGAATAAAATTAGCTCTAACTCAGTGCTGCTTCAATAAAAAATTTATCAGAATTATAAAAATTATAATAATAAATTCATCACATGTCGAGGGGGATAGCCGATGTTCTTGATCAGAACATCATCTTTTTCAAGAACAAAAATATCTTGTATATTTTGCTTGTTTTTGGTTTATTTTGATTTATTTGAGTTTCTGACCATGATGCCCTGACACCAGTCTTCACTTGAAAATATAGATAGTAAAGTAATGTGTTTCCAAGTGAATAGTTCTAATCCGGTATTGCTGCTTCAATAAAAAATTCTTGAGTATTACGAAAGTTGTAATAATAAATTCACCACAGGATAAGGCAACCGTTTGAGTTGCCTCGTCATTAAAAAAAGTCAGCACAACAGCTCATGAAAGTCGTTTAGTTTTGGTTGCTGTTAAATTACCACAGGGCTTCTGCTGGTTCATCCTAACCAGTTTGTTTTGACAGAATAAATTTGCATCTTAAAAAAAACAATTTACGAAATGCTATTTCATCTTTAAGGTTACTTTAGAAATTTTTCTATAGTGACTTTTTATTGACTGCAGCGATGACGAGGAAGGGCTAGTTTCACTTGGAAAAATATTATAAGCAAAAACTGATGTCACTACTGCATGACTGAATCTGAAACTTTTTAGGCCTATAGCTTTAATTGATAAGTCACAAAAAAGCCCCTGAACAAATATTACATATGTAAAAATTAATCAGATGGAAGATGGAAAAATTAATCAGATGGACTTGTCCACATGGGAGATGGAAACTTGCTTTACCTTCTTTCTGATTGTCAGAGAGAGGCTCTCAAATTCTAACAACGAAAACAAAATTCTACTAAAAAACCTTCCAGTTCTAAAAAGGAAAGGAAAGCAGTTCTAATAGGAAAATTTTCAATTCAAATATATGAATTCAATGCTGGATCTGAAAAATTCCAATTCTAACAATGAAATTTTCGGTTAGCCAGCCTAGCCCCTAGACCATAAGGAATATACTGATAATTTCGCTGTTGGTAATGAAAATATCTACATAAAAATAATAAAAAACACTGCCAAACGAAGCTATATATACAAAATCAAAACTATATTTGATACGTATTGTATAGTAGTAGTATATTATTAGTATACGTTGTTAGAAAATTATGGAATTCTAAAAACATACGTATTTTCAAATAATAAAATTTATTGTATGTATTTTTTTAATTTTGAAAACTTCGATACCTATGATCAAAACAAGCCAATAAGGAAAATTATTTACTTAACTAATATTTTCATTACAATGTTTACATGCTACCAAAATATTTTGTATTTTGGTGACTTAATATAATTACCTAAAACAAATACAACTTTTTAAATTTTCCGGCAATAATTATATTCAAATCTTATAATTTTCAATGTGAATTTTACTGATGTTCTGAGTATTCTTATTTATTGGTACAACAATTTGGTGATAAAAATATTTGCATATTATTAACCCTATCTACTCGCGAATTGCGAGGCGGAGCGGCGGCATTCGAGTGGAAAGGGTTAATATGTTTTTTGATAAAAAATTGCAGTTTTTGAACCGAATTTTGCATATTCAAAAAAATACTAGTACTTTTTGAACAACTCAAATTGGTTCTTTCCAATACATATATAATAGTGAATTTTACACAGGCAAGTACGTAAATGTATAAGACATAGATACAGAAGTAAATGCGTCCATACTTTTTAAGGTATGCTTTTAAGATTATCGACCGAGCAGAAGCTCTTCAAACGCAAAAATACCTAAAATTATTGTTTTAGATTTTAATAACTCAATATGGGCAAATACGGGCTCATTATACTATGTAGACATAAATGTTGGAGCCATAGTTTTGCTGGTTTTCCCAATGTGATTGACCCCACATGCCGCATTCAAATCAATAATGCAAACATATTATGACTAATGCGTGCCAACACTTTGATAGTATCCCACAAATCACTTTTAATTAATTTTCTTTAGAATGCCAATTTTCTTTAATATTGGACAGAAATGTGAGGAACAATTCAATAATATTGTTACAAGTCTTGTGTTCTTGAAAGCGGATAAAATTTCTGATTTGAAATGGAAACAGGTACGGATTCTTGATAGATGAAATAAAATTGATTTGTCTAAGAAAATAAGAACAAGTATAATATATCACTTAATCCATTCAATGTTATTGAAGTGATAAAGACACACCATATAAAAATTAGTTTCTTTACAATAATCAAAGCTGCTTTAATCCTTTCGCAACGGGAATGTTTTCTGCAGAAATGACCCTGCTGTACGAGACGCCGCCCAAGTATTTATTACACAAAATATTTTAAAATTTTCCAATCATTATAAAAATATAGTTAAAAACTAGAAAATAACACTTCTGAAAAACTAAAAACCACAATAAAAAATTACAATTTTCAATTATTTCGATACACTGTATGTCGGCTATAGGCGTACGCATAGGTTGTCAAGAAAAATGGTTAAATGGTTAAATTTATATCTCCTATTCTAATTCATTTTACAAGGAGTAGGATATTTCAAATATAATCATGTTACATACATAATTGTGACATTTCACAGAATCACATGACTCGGCTTAAAGAGCACATACTTCTCAGGTAAAAAAATGGCTAAATAACCTTAAAATTAATGATAGGTAGATCTGGAAAAAATCTTAAAATTTTTGGGCCGGTTCTGCCACACAACAGACCAATGGTATGGCAAGGCCATGTTACGCTCCAACTTCCATATATTACGCTACTGAATCATATTGTCAAAATGTCATGTATTTGCTGTGTATTCAGGCGTTTTACACATAAACTGGAATATCACTTGTTTGTTATGAAGCTGGGTCAGAAAGATCTTGTTATCTAAGATTGTTTTTTGATATTTGTGCGGTTTCTAGGTTACGTTTTCTATCTGACATTCAGAAAAGCGCCTGACTGCACAGCTACCACATGGCTTTTGTCAATAATTAGTATAGAAAGTTCTTCATAACATAGCCTTGCAATAACATTGGTCTGTTGTGCGGCAGAATCGGTCTATTAATGTTACTTTTACTCACTTTTTTATTATATAGTAATTTTTACACCTGTCCTGAAACACAAGGACAACAAGTAAAACTGTAGAAAAAAATGACTTTAAAATACAAAATCTTCTGACCACTATCAGAGATTTTGAAAATTGGCATGATTTAATGTAATATGAATTTCTTGTTTAATCTTGCCCTGGTGACATAGTTCTTTGGCAAGTGAGTTTAGATGATCCTCGAAGATCATCCAAATGATTTGCAACTATTATGTTAAACTCACCAGCACTCAGGTACATTCCAGACAGAAGACTGCCAACCCATGCAACCTTTCCTTTGCCTTCTCCGAAATACAGAACGAATTCGCCAAGAAAAACGCCGAATGTGTAAGCGATGCCATCTACGATCATGTTGCACATAAATGAGGCGAAAACGACAACCCAACCGTAACCTCCGTCAGGCGGAGGCGGCACGTCGTGGTACTCGCAGTACGACATCGATTCCTCTTCGGCGCATTGCATCGCCTCCGCGGTCAGCCGAGCCGCTTCTTCGCATGCTACTTCGCTATCCGTCTGGAAAAAGAGAATATATTCGTTAATAATTTGGTTTGATAGAAAAATTTATTTTAAAAAACTGAAAGTTTAGAAAACTAACTTAGAAATAACAATACACCTTACAAAACATTTAAATAACCTATACTTGAAAATTATATTCAGGTATCATAAACTAAATACAAGAGCTCAAGAGCAAAAAAACTACAAACAAAAAAAAGCTTTTGGTATGAATATTGATACATTTCCATTTATCTCCTGATATCCTGATATCGACAAAGAATTATGGTGATGGTTGGTTACACATCTTTTGCCTTCTACTTTGAAATAGTATCATCAAAATATCTATACTTTGCTTGTTTTGGAGATTTGGTGATAGTGGGACTTTTTACACATGGATCTTTAAGACCTGCTCTACCTTATTTATCATACAAATCATACATGAAACTTCCATTAATTAACTAAACTCCTAAACTTGGATCAAAGACTATATTCTGTTCCCATAATCTATGGATGGTAATTTGTATTTTTTTAAACTAAGAGTTGGTAATTAAGTCATAAGCAAAGTAAAATCGTTTACCTCCTGATATCGATTTCCAAAAATTAAGATGATGGTTGGTTACCCATCTTTTGCCTTCTACTTTAAAATAGTATCATAAAAAATATCTATACTTTGCTTATTTTGGAGATTTGGTGATGGTGGGACTTTTTACACATTGATCTTTAAGACCTGCTCTACCTTATTTAACATACAAATCATACTTGAAATTTCCATTAATTGACTAAACTCCTAAACTTAGATCACAGACTATTCTGTTCTCATAATCTATGGATGATGATTGGTAATTAAAAAAAAAATCTTGTAATTAAGTCATAAGCAAAGTCAAATCGTTTATCTCCTGATATCGACTTCCAAAGATTAAGGTGATGATTGGTTACACATCTTTTGCATTCTACTTTAAAGTAGTATCATTAAAAATATCTGTACTTTGCTTTTTTGAGATATTGATGATGGGACTTTAAACAGATCTTTAAGGCCTGCACTACCTTATTTATCACAAAAATCATACTTTAAACTTCCATTAACTGAACTCCTGAAATGAGATATGTTCCCATAATCTATGGATAATAATTGGTATTTCAACGATCCTGCACTAGAATGTCAATACAAATGAAATACTTACAATTTTTATGTTTAGCGATTTTTTTTAATATTATTTTGTTCTAGCAAATATCAATTGTTATATACAGATTAATAGATAATTTTATTAGCTTTTTAATGATATAATAACATTTGTATGCATTCAAACAAATTTTTAATAAAATAACACAAAACTAAAAAAGTGTCACCAACGTTCTTATTAACTGCACCAGAATGTCAATACAGATGAAATTTATACAATTTTTATGTTTAGAGATATTTTTAAATATTATTTTGTTCTAATAAATATCAATTGTTATATACAGATTTATAGATAATTTTATTAGCTTTCTAATGATATAATAAAATTTGTATGCATTCGAACAAATTTTTCCTAAAATAACACAAAACTAAAAAAAGTGCCACCAACGTATTGAGTTGACTAATCAGCACGTCTACCCATCAATAGGAATCGAATATCTTTTGAATCAATCAAATCGGTTAATCCGTGCTCCCGAAATCGTCTTTTCTAAAGTGGAAAAATTGTATCCACACTGTATCTATTTACTCAAAAGTAAGCCAAAATGTTCAGAAGGCTTTGAACCGTAAAGATATGCAATAATTTTAATTTTCTATTTTTTTGCGATTACTATAACTTACCCTACGGGAAGTTAATAATTTGGCATTTTTAATATAAAAATTCGAACTATTATATTATTTTATAAATAAAAATAATCGATGTGGCTCCAAGTGCGCAAAGCTCACGCTCAAAAAATTTAATTAATGGGAAAGGTATAATAGGTTCTCATCATATGATGGTTTATAAAACAGAATTTACAACCGCAATTCGTGCCGGATTATAAATGTATGCTAAACAATAAAAAAATTCCATAACAAAATTGAACATTTATAAGTCGATATATTTATATTATCAAAAAAAGTGTTTCTGGACCACGTGAGAACATTTTTGGAGATGCCAAGATTTGAATTACTGTTATGCGAATTAAATATAAATGAAATATGCTAGCAGGCGTTTGTATATACATCATGGAGTATTTTATAATCATAACATAAATTTCGTTGTTATTTCATAGGCGTGTAATAGTAAGCGTAGATAAATAATGGAGCAAAATGTTGTACACAGCCGGAAATTATCAAGAAGTAACATAGTATGCACATACATGTAATGCTATATTTTGTCGGTTTAATATTTCACTTATGATAATTCTGCATTTTATAATTGTTATTGTTTTATTATTCGCCCGACCGTCCATCTATATCCTGACAACGAGTTTCCAAAACATTTCCTTACAAAAGTACAGATGAAAATTTAAATAATTTGCTAAAATCCACTCGAGAAAATTGCTAGTATCACGTAACATAAATTAGTTCAAAGTTGATTTTAACCTCAGGTGCGGTCAGTTATAGAAATCGCAAAAAAAAATTGAAAATGATAATATTTGTATATATTTACGTTTCAAGCATTCTGAACATTTTGGCATACATCACAACGTATGTGTATGTGTATGATAAATATGTGTACGTTTATGTATGTGTGTGTGCGCGCGTATGTACGTGCGGATACAATTTTTAACTTCCCATAGGGCAAGTTATAGTAATCGCAAAAAAATCGAAATCGAAAATTTTTATATATCTTTACGTTTCAGAGGTTTCTGAATATTTTGGCATACCTCAGAAAAAATGGATGTATGTGTGTGTGTGTGTGCGTGTATGTATGTGCGGATACAACTTTTCGTTCAACATTTCGAGAGCACGGATCAACCGATTTGAATGATTTAAAAAACATTTGATTCTTTTTCGAAGACGCAAATTTTTGGCAAAAGGCAGGTCCATCCGTTTCAAAGATACGGGGCAAAAAGTGCCAAAAAGTCAAATCAGTTTGTGAGAAACCGAAGCGTCTGATATGAATGATTCAAAAAACATTTTACTTGTATTAACAAAATGAATAACTGATTAAATTTTTAGGAAGGCAGGTGGAGCGGTTTCGGAGATCCAATAACAATGTTTAACAAAATTCCATTTGGTGGTCAAATATGGTCATTACACATATGCACATCAAATTATCATATATTTATTGAGATTTTATTAACAAGTATAAATTTTGTTTACATTTCTATGGGTTCCGTACCAAGATTTATAATGTTTAACCGGAAGACTGAAGACTTTAAAAGATGTTCAAAAAAAATTTGAAATATTTTCAAAATTTTCAGAAAATGTTAAACAAAATCTAAAATTTTCAGAAATTTTCAAAATTATCAAAAAAAAAAAAATTAAAATATATGAAAACTGAAAATATTTATAAATATATAAGACATTTAAATTTATAAATATATGAAAAATTTATTTTTCAAAATTTTCGAAGAATTTAAAAAAGAAATTTTTAAAAAATATAATAAAGCTTTTTTTAGCAATTTGCCTTAAAGCACGATGCCGTGCACCACTAGTTTTATTCAACGTTTCGGGAATAAAAAATGTCGCACTTTTGAGTAAATTAATGACTAATCTTTTTCCAATTCAAACGCTCAATACTCATCAAAATTCACTAAAAACAATATGTTGGAAAATTCATCGGAAAACTGCGTGTTCTTTTAGAATACAATTAAATTTTTTTTTTTACCCGAATTTAATTTCGAGTTAGTATCTGCGCCTAATAAAATTTATATCATATATCATAAAATGAATTTTCATGTGTTGATAGTATTTAAGCACGAGATAACGTGCAACTAAATTATTAGGTGCAATTAACTCTTAATGGTGATAGTTTTTTTTAATTTAATAAAAAGGTTTTTATTAAAATATCACTAAAATTATTTTTATATATCTAGCAATATTATTGATATTGCATATGATATCAAGCGATTGCAAAATAATATTTTAATAGTATAGCAAATATACTGAGTCTCAGGCGCATTATTGCAGCCTCTATTGAAGAATGCATTCGACATTCAAAATATAAATACATTAGCATAGATATTGAAAAAATATGTATTTTTCAAAGAAATTTATCATTCACACCTGTATTATGAAGTAAAGATTGAACAGAAATTTAAAAAATATTAATTTTATGTACAAAATGACTTCACGTTTTCCACTCATAGTACTGACAATCAAATTAGTGAAGCACAATCAATACATAAAACAAATTGCGGACATCTCAATTGTGAAAATATCTTTGATATATAAAAAATCCACTATATTAACAATTCTTATCTCATATCTGTAATACTTAATCTGAATTCTTATGTTTAAATCTTCAAACCATTCATAATCATATAATCAATCATTATTTTCAATGATTTTTGTTTTGCATCTTCCATAAATCCTACTCTATCTATTTTCAAGGCTTTTTAAAAATCATTTTATATATATATATATATATATATATATATAATTCTTGTATCACGTTGTTAGTCGCAATAGTTCTCCGGAACGGTTTGACCAATATTTATGAATTTTTATAATCATGTTCAGTATGACTCAAAATAGGACATCCATTTTTCAAACCCTTAAGTGATACGAGCCACCCTTAAGATTTTTCCAATTTCTTTTATTTTATTTTTTGTATAATTTGCAGATAAGACACCTACAGCCCTTAATTTTGACCCATCTAACCTCAGACTCATATTTTATAATAGTCATTTTAGTAATCAAATCATTTATCACCCCATTGGCAGCCAATCATTTTTTTCACTATATTTTAATCTTAGAAAAACTGTTTTTTCACTTTATTTTAAGCTTAAATTTTTGCTTCAAAAAGCAATTTATTTTTATCAAGGGTTTTCCAAACATAACATTTTTATTAAATTTACGATCAATTTTTTGTGTTTGAATTGTTTATAATGCGGAATTGAAAG